TGCCTTGTCACGTAATCCTTGGGATGTGCCAGAGGAGGAAGTGTCGACAATCGATAATTCTGTACTTATGAATGAATGAATGACTAAGTAGATCCTTTGGAATTAAATTCAAACCCGGTGCACGAGGTGACCTTGTCACCTGTGCATCCTAACCTAACCTCCCAAAGTACAGAAAATAATAACGAGATCGACACTGACTGCTTCCATATTCTAGAGAATGAAATGACAAAAGAAAATTTGTTAGGAAAAGGTCACATATTAATGACCAAAATGTTAATTGTGAAGACCGGACTCCTTGGGGGTATCCCTGTCACTCAAACCGGGGGTGCATGTGGAGAGGGTATCTTTGAATAAAGAAGGCTCGAAACGCAGCATGTACCCTGTATTGACCTTGTCTCAGATACATTCTCTGAGCCTGGTTTGGTTCGAGATGGGCACACAGACAGAACTTGTGTGTCTCCTCGAATGACGAGGTTGGTGCACAGACAGAACTTGTGTACCTCCTCAACTAATGTTCTCGCTAATGACGAGGTTGTCGGGGCGTATGTACTCGGACTGAGTCAGAGAACAGAAGTTACCCTTTCTCCTGACGGTCAAGAACGACTTGGACGGAGACGCAATTCTCAAGATTGTGATGTCTTTGGTGATAACGTACTTTCTCCTCAGAATCACGAGAATTGCACAATTTTAATGACATTGATGGCAGATTGTTGTCTGCATCAGGTCATGGTGCGAGTGCAGCCGTACACGAGGATTACGACTTCACAGAAAACGACGAATTTCAAGTGATGAAGATTTTGTTAATAGCGAAACAAGCACGAAAATTCTCGAGGGCGGAAAAGATTTAAAAGTAAATTTATATAAAAAAAAAAAATTTGGTATTTAAATTAAAAGACAAAAAAAAAAAATTTTTTTTTCTCTTAAATCAGAAAAACTAATTTCGAGACCCCTTTTCAATTGCATGGCCTTCAGTCCAATCATCAATTCAGCCTTGTCTTAACGATTTATTGTTCGTTTCGGCTGTCCAAAAATAATTCATCCTGAATTTTGTAAAATTTTAAAAATTAAGAAAATTGTTCCACAGCATTCCATGCGCAGTCTCTAGGATCTCTAGAAAGGAACCATCATGTTTTAGTACAATATCTTAAAAATTATTGTCAGAAAACAAATTTGGACAGATGGTTACCTTATGCAATGTTTTCCTATAATATTGCACAATACGAAGCGACAGGTTTCACACCTCACGAACTCATTTTCGGTAAAAAGGGCTCGCATCCCCTCTGAATTTTCAAAGCAGGAAGTTCCACTCACTTATCATTTATTTGTAAAAACATTAGGTGATAAATTATCTGAAAAACAAGCTACATGTAAAGAAAAAATTAGACGCGAATTATGCCGGTCCATTTAAAGTCATTTAAGGTTTTGATAATAGTAACGTTGAACTCGAAATGAAAAGAGGTAAAACTAAAGTTGTACATACTAACCTCCTTTGACCACAAACACTCAAATTATTTTGAGATAAAGTAAATTATATAAATCTTACCTTTCATAGATTGATATAATAATCAAACAAATACAGTTTTAATTGTTTTTTAAACTCGGAAATAGTTACCAAAAATTTGTTTTCTCATTTTTGTGAATAATATATTGTCAAAATAATTAATTCGTAATTCCTTTTTGGGGAGGGAGTGTGTAAAGAGCAACTTGGACTTGCTCTATTTTTTCTTCCAAACTTTGCACATCTAACTCCTTATAAATTAATTATTATTATATTTCCAATTATTTTTCATAAACAAACAATTTACGTATGTAAACATTGACAAACGTGAACTACATATTCAGTCAGAGATAGACAACTTCATAACCGAACCGCTCAAGCCCGGTTCACAACGAATCAAAAACCTTAAGGCTCATTTGCATAAGCTTTACTGGTTGCGCAATTCGCGGTAATAAATTGCGTAAATTTCTTTTTCTTTAAATATATAAATATATATAAGTAAAATAAATAAATAAATAAATAAAAAAAAATAAATAAATAAAAAAAAAATAAAAAAAAAAAAGAAATAAATAAATAAATAAAAAATAAATAAATAAATAAATAAAAATAAAACAAAAAAAAAATAAAATAAGATAGATATTTTATCACTTTAAGCATAATTATTATTATCATATTTTCGAATAATCAATTATTCTTTTTTATTAAGGGGGAAGGTGTAACGAGCGACTATTATCTCGCTCGAATCGTGATTCGATATTAATCGAAATGCGATTAAAAGTCGCGGGAAAATATAATATTAATTTTATATTTTAAAAAATAATATCCTGTCCATAGATTGAGAAGAACTTTCTGCGTTCGATTTAGTAAATATGTTCCTAAAATATTGTATTCTTCAAATATCTCTCTATCAATAGCCGAAATATAACAAAAGATGAAATACATATGTTTCGCAGACACAGTGTCTTTGAAAATATCGCTACAAAAAATAGTAAGGTTTAAACACATTTCCAGCAATATGAGTTTGTGTATTGTCACTCTGAAGACAATATACCCTTAAAACTCAAACACAATTGTCAACCATAAACTAAGAGAGATAACCCCAAAGATGTCATAAAAAACTGTCTTTCAATTCTCAAGTAGACCCTCTTTGGAGGTAAAACCATAAAACACATCGGTTGACCAACGTACATTTTATCCTTTTTCTCAGGATAAAATCACGTACTGGAAAAACCCAGTTTTCAATACTTTTTAGAAATGTTAATTATTCCACTACTTTTATAAATAATTGTAATTTGCATATTAGATTATTTCTATCAATCTAACATCTAATCAATTATTATAATATAATTGATAATGAATTAAGACTTGTAAATAAACTACATTCAAGCTTTATAGTTAAACAATTAATTTGTTATAACTATCATGACCATTAACTATGTATAATTCTATATAATATTTACTATATTTGTAACACGTATGTGTCATGTACAGGTGTAAATATAATTATTATAAATATAAATATTATTATTAGAATGTATGCATGTGTATATATATATTGAAATAATTATCATGTGATAATTATTGGAATCATAATGTTATGATGAATGTGTATGTATCAACATCGACAAGTATGACGTATGAGTCGGTATTAGTATTAGTGAAGTGCATAAATGTATCTACTATATAGTGGGGATACTACTATACTATACTATACTACTGTATAGTGGGGGATGCGCGTCATTTAGAACATGCGCATTTCCTCCAACATGGACTAACAGCGGAGAACAAGTCCGCTGGACTGTAACTACAGATGAGATTTAAGTTGACTATTGACTAGAAAGGTTGCTTCTAAGCTTCCTTAGTCATAACTTGTATTCTTGAACTTTTAGTAAATAAATATTTGGGTTTACTCTCAAGAAGACTGATTTCCTTCAATAATTAATTTTATTAATTATTGAATGATTTATTCTACTTGTGAGCTTTTTCCCTCCGTTTTAACGGAATATTCACGTTTATTATTTGAAATTTCCCGGTTCCTATCAAGGATTTAACCAAATTCTGAACTCAACGAATCACCGAGCAGTAATCGCGTTTGCGCGAGTAATTTACATTTGTGCTCGTAACATTCAGGCCGACTTTTTTCAAAATGTGGCGGGAAATTCAAATAAAGTAATAATAATATTATTATATATTAATTGTTGCTTATTAATTAAGTAATATTTAATAGTATTGATAATTAATTTTATTAAACAATTAATTAAAATTAATAAATAATAATATTATTATTATTTTATTTAAATTTCCCGCCATGAGTTAGAAGACAATTTTCATCATAAATAAAATACTTCTCTCTTTTCTGAAGTTAATTATATTACAAAATATGTCTAAAAGTTACTGGATCAATATAATATACAAAAAAATATGATTAAATTCAATCTAATACATGAAAATTAATTATTTTCGTACTTTCCCATGCATTTTGAGAAAAGTCGGCCTGAAAGTACAGCCAGCGCCACCATTTCTCTAGGTGGCGACGATCAACTTTCATCCCATTATATTTGCATACTATCCACAGAAGTGTCACCGGGCTGCTTGGAGGGTCTGCTCCTGACTATTTGCTATGGATTAATGGATATAAAATTTCATGAAATTTTGGTATTTGGTTTCGTGAAATATTTCATGCAAAATTTGAAATATATGAAAAATTGAAATATTTCTAATCAGTTAGCGGGAAAATTTAAATTAGATGTGTAATATAAGATATATTTATTATTATTATTATTATTTATTTTTTTTATTACCTTATTTTAATATTATTTATATTTTACTATTATTTATTTATTTTTAACTTTTTAGAAACAAATTGCTAATTCTATAAACTAAAGGTACACTCTCACCGCCTCTACTGCCTGCCTGCCTGCAGGTTGTCATGGTAACACATAAGAGTAAGAGAGTCAGAAAATTCAAATTACATGTTTTCTCTCTCTTACTCTCGTTGCGCAGGCAGGCAGTAGAGGAGGTGTGAGTGTGCCTTTACGTGTATTCATATATAATAAAGAATACTGCTTGTGAGAAAACATCAAAATATTTATAATAATATCATTTTTAGAAAAAAAAAACTCCTTCGTTTTATCCCTATTGATTCTCTAAATAGGAGGTAAAAATAAAAAAAAACTATTGATTTGTCATTCTAGAGGCGTCGAAATAAAAAAAAATGTGTTTAACTTTTGCCGGAAGAAACAAAAATTACGCACTTGAAACTTTTTCCTTTTTGTCGAAATGAAATTTTGTTATAATTCTCAAAATTATTTATAAATAGTTGTCGTACCCGTCTTCGACGTGTGTAAATATTAGGATTTAAAAATTTTTGATATTATTTATTATAATATCAAATTATTGTATAATATTATTTTCTGATAAATTTCGAATTATTTAGCAAATTTCAAAATTCTAAAGTAGTTCAAAGAAAAATAAGGTTACATATAAAAGCAGTGTTCAAAAGTAGGGTCTTATTTGATTATTTATTTTAAAAAACAGTACATGTGTTTTTTTCTCACTGCCTTTCGTCACTTATATACAAAGCGAATAAATCAGGATGTTAGTTTTGTGACTAATTTCTCTTAAAAAATAAAAATTTTAAATATAACATTTCCAGTACCATTTAGGAAAGCAATCTGATTTTATAATTCGTACAAAATAAACTGTATCTATATGTAATATAAACTGTCCACTTTCTGTGTAATAAATGACCCTTGATGGTTTCTAACAAAATGTGTGGTACAAAATTTGTAGGAAAAATTATGTTTTGCTTAAACTATAATATTACAAAAAATTATTATAAAATGAGGTGTAATGAAAATTGTATATATATACAGTTATACCTCTCGCATTGATTTTTCATTACTGTGTGAGTGTGAAGACCTAATGTATCTCTATTTTTATGCTACAAATGTCTGGTTTTTAATTATGAACTTTATCGAATTTATGGATGGAATTTCTTGAGGAATGGAATTTCTTTAAACATCTAAATTAGGGCTGTAAATGATATATTCTTAAAATTATACTTATTTTATTCTGGAGATTGCTTCACCGTTAAGTTTCAAGTTTGTCGTTGAAGTCGATGGTTCTTCATCTAAAAGGATAATATTCGTGTTAATTTAATGAAGCTGAAACTAGCATCCACTTTATTTTAATAATTAAATTTTAAAGTTAAATATTTTTTAAAAAGCTGTAACTACAGGGTTCGAACCAGTGAAAGTATTTAAAAATACGGACCTTACGGACCAAAAATAAAAAATTACGGACCAATTATAGACAAAAATATTACCAAATATTTGTAGAATTTATCACTCGGTAAAAGATAATATAAAATGTCAAGAAAATTATCAATCCTGATAAGTTTCTTTACATTTTATAAAAATATAACCAGTCCGAGTCAAATAAGAGAACATTTTACTTAAAACAATAAATAAAATTTTTTCATACTATAAAACATGAAGAAATCGATCACTCCGAGTCTTCGACTCGGAGTAATCGATATCTTCATGTTTTATAATAATTAAAGATAAACGAGTGATAAAATCATTACTTTGTACTATAAGAAATATTTTTACTGTAACTTCTTCAAAATTATTTTCCTTATTTCAATTCAATTATTATTTTCTACAATTTTTAACTAAAATTCTTTTCTAAATCAATTATTTTTAATAATTTTCGAAAAAGTTCTTTTTGAGAATTTTCAAATCTATTTTCTTTATAATACAATTTTACGTGAAATTTCGATTATTCGGAAATTCCTCAATTAAATATATTGTAAAAAATAAAAAATTCCAATAATTTAAAAAAAAAATTTAATTAAACTTGTTCAAAAAAAATTAAATCTACAGAATTTTTTTCATTAAAAGTATGAAGAATTAAAATTTTCCAAAAATTTCAATTAGCAACTTTTTCAAAATTCAATTATTGTTAAAAATTCGGGCTTCTAATGCTTTTTTTTAATATTATATGGAGAATTTTATGGAAATTATTTAAATAATTTAATTCTTACTATGAATTTTGTTCTTTATGAAAATAATTGAATTCTTAGGAAAATTTTATAAAATAATTAAATTCCTGCGAAGAACTTTGTTATCTTTATGATAATAATAATTGATTTTTTCTAAAGAATTTTTTTATTTATTATTTATGAAAGTAATGGAATAATAACGAAAATTTTTTTCAAAATTTTAACATAATTGAATTTCTGTGAAATTTTTATTGTTTATGAAAATAATTAAATGTTTACGTAGAATTTTATTAAAAAATTGTTTGAATATTTGAATTCTTTTGGAAAATTTTACTAAAAAATTACATATTGTATTGAGGGAAATTTTTGAAAATAATTGAAATTTTGTTTAGAATTTTATTACAATTTTTAAAAATAATTGAATTTCGGAGAAGAATTTTATTATTTATATAAAGATAATTAGAATTTTGAAGAGAATTTTTAAAAATTGTTGAATATAATTGAATTTTTGTGAAGAATTTTATTACTTTTGAAAATAATTGAATTTCTGCAATAATTTGTAATTTGTAATTAACTTTTCAAAATTTGATGTTGGTATTAAAAAAAAATATTCAACTTTAAATAACGTACAGTTCAATGCCTCAAATAGGGTTAAAAGCATTCTACTGGATTAAGATTATTTAATTTCAATTTACCAAATTCATTGTCACTTAGTTGTGGAGAAAGTTTGCGGCCTTTAGCTAAATATGATTTCAGTTTTCCTACGCTGGCTAGGATTAGCCCTAGGAATGGCGGAGAGGGTTCCAAAGGACGTGATAAGTACTCTGGATGAAACTGAGTGGCAACGTAGAAGTTATGTCCTTCTAATTCCATAATTTCCATTCGCTCTGAATTTTCATCGTGTCCTAGAAATTTTTTTTTGTCATTTTCTTGAAAATTTGTTAAGATTACATTTCAGTTTTACAGTACAAGAACGAGAAGTTTAAGAATTTGCCACTAGGCGAAATTTAGAGTTTAACATTCGTAAAACAATCCACTTTTAGGTACTAGTTTAAAAAAGGCATATTTCTCGCGCTAAAATTCTTAAAATTAAAAAAACTTACCAATAAATTTCATTCCAGCTGCTTCGAGATCAGGTACATACTTAGGGTTAACTTCATACCGATGACGGTGGCGTTCTTCTATCATCTCCTTATTATCATATAATTGCTCTATAAAGAAAAATATAGACTTCGTCAAACACATCTTTAGAATAAGGTGATATTATTTGACAGAATAAAATATTTTCAAAAATCAAACAATTACGTACTCATAACAGAATCTCCCCCTGTGAAGCAAGTTGCTCTTTTTCCCAGTCTCATTGTCCCACCCATTTGGCCTGGATTATGTTCAGGCATATCAATAACAACAGGATTTTCTGTCTCGCTGTCGATTTCCGTACTATTGGCATTACTTAAACCTAAAACATTCCGTGCGAATTCTATTACTGCAGTTTGCAGCCCTAAGCATATTCCAAGGAATGGTTTGTTATTGGTTCTGCACCAACGACATGCTTCTATTTTTCCTTCTAAACCTCTTTTTCCAAAACCACCTGGCACAATAACTCCACTAGAATCAAAACAAAAATTAGAAGGTAGAAATTTCAGACTTATCTTCATCTTCTGATGGCTAAATTAACAGTCGACCATTTTTAACGAAAAAATTTAATTATTCTTCAAGAGGAAATTTTTTATTTTTTCCAACTGTTCTAATTAGTTTTTTATAAGAAAACAAAGAATCAATAGTAAAAACTTACGCGCATTTGCATAATTGCCCCCAAGCTTCATGGTAGATTACTGGATGTGATTTCTTTTTGGCTTCTTCTAAATTGCAAGCTTCAATGTACTAGATGAAACAAATTTTAATACGTCTTACTATCTATTTCGATAAGATTTAATAATAATTAAATTGTTATTGGGATCTCTTTTAGAGGCATGGCAATCATTTGACATGCTCTCAATGGTACCATTAAGTCAAATTGTAATATTTACTTGTTAAAAGTTTAAAACTATGTCGTTTTCTATATCAGATTTCAAAAACACACGTACCTTCAATTCTAATTTGTATCCAACTTCAATAGAAGCATGTTGCAGAGCTTTTGTAATTGACGCATATGAATCCTCAAGTTTTGTGTATTTTCCTACCAATGCAATAGATACTTTCTTTCTAAGATGATCAGCGCGTTCAGCAAGGTTACGCCATTTGTACATAAAAGTACGAGGGTTTGGCATTGAAATATTCAACTGCAATCTATCAATTAAGAAAGGTACAATGCCCTGATTCTCCATTAACAGAGGCACTCGATAAATTGACGAGAGATCATGAATTGTAATAACCTGAAAATGTTTGTTTTATTTAAAGATTAATAATAAATCAAACGAAGATAATCCTTTACAAGAAGCAGAATGTCTGCAAAAAGTTGAGGAGGAAGTAGTAGTGATGCATACCTGCTCTGGAGGAACATGGCAAAAATTGGAAATTTTGTCTTTGATACTGTCACAAATAGGATTTTCAGATCTACAAATAATGAGATCAGGTGATAATCCTAGACCACGTAATTCTCTCACACTTGATTGAGTTGGTTTAGTTTTTGGTTCACCTGTAGATTTTGGCTAGAATAAAAATTATAAAAAATAAAGTATCATTTATTAAAATACTACGATAAGTTATTAATGATCTTAATGATCAATCTTTTGATCTGCATTTAAATTGTAACGTGAATTTTCTTTATTTTAATTCATTAAAAATAATATATTTTTCCTTCTCCAGATTTAATTCTTTTTTTAATTTTAAATTAGATTATAATTATACAGGAATACATGTTCTTGGACTTAGACTCGAACAACAGAAAATAGTTTCTAAGGTCAATTTTTAAGCTGAATTCGAATCAATATTCTATTTCTTCACTACGCGTTCAGGTTCAAATAAAAAATAATATATAAATATAGTTAACTTGAATTTCTTTATCAGTGTTATAATAAACGTATAAAAATTCATAAAGTTAAATGTAATTAATTACCTGTGGTATCAATGACACATGTGCACAGCAGAAATTTTCCTTCTTTACACGAAATTGAAACTGTCTAAAAGCTTCTACAAATGGCATTCCTTCAATATCTCCAATGGTTCCTCCTAGTTCTATTATACAAACCTGAAAATTTGAATTATTCTCATGTAAAAACAAATATTTGCTTCAAAATTTATACTAGGAATTAAATATTTCTGTGACCTTATTTTTTAAAAGAAAAATGTTCACTCCCCGTAATTCTAAATTGTAATGTAAACCAAAATCCCAGCTCTAATTGCAATAAATCTTATAACATTAATCTTATTACACACTGTAAAAAGAATGGTACTAATTTAATGCCAATTTTGGTACTAAATCGTAATTTGGTTCTATTTTAATACCAAAATCAGCTCTAATTTAGAACTTTTTTTTTACAGTGCAGAATTTGATAAGATTAATGAATTCTATTAGTAAATTGAGAACTTATATCTATTAGAAGATTTTTTAAAATTTATTCAAGATAACTTAAAGTCAACGCAAAACATACCTCTGGTTCATTGCCATCAGCAGAAACCGACTGTTTAGCAACTCGAGCAACCCATTCTTGTATAGCATCAGTTATATGTGGAACAACTGCAACAATAGAATATATAGATTCCCGAACACATTTTTCATTCTAATCTGTGGCATATACTCACCTTGCACCGTCTTTCCCAAATATTCTCCACGTCTCTCCTTTTCAATTACTGATTGATAAATTTTCCCAGTCGTTATGTTATTATCTTTGTGTAATGTTATATCCAAAAATCTCTCATAATTTCCTAAATCGAGATCCACTTCTCCACCATCATCTAACACATACACTTCACCTAAAACATAAAAAGTAATAATTTGTTAAAAAGTATTTTATTTTAGTAAATAAATACGAGTCAGATGAAAATAATATTTTCATATAGTTTGTCAGGTACAAAATATTAAAATTTCTTTGAATCCTAGATCACTAGTTTACAATCGCTTTATCTAAAGGTACGTACATAAAATGACAATGGATATAAGATTCAATATAATTTATAAGGACTTATGGTATTAGCGCGTGCAGTCCGAGCAAAGAGCCGGTTCTTCGATCCAGCTCCTCAATTGTTTAAATTAACAATTCTTTATTAATTTGTTACCTTATCAAGAGCAGCTATTAAAAATTACAGTTAAATTCAGCATTAAAAATTCCAATTATCGAGGAATGAATATTACACGGGGTAAATTTTATCCTACCTTATGCTCACCGGGTTAAAAAAAACTAGAGAATAAGTGTTAATTACAACTGAAGAAAGTTATGTTTACAAAGTAAGACACTAATACTGTATTATTATGGTAGAATTGCAGTAATATTTTAGTAGTGTTACAAAAAAATAAGTATAAGTATAATAATTTTAGGAACTTTCTATTATTACTAGGTAACATCACTAAAAAATAACCAATGAAGAAACTTAATAAGAAGTGGGAAATTGAAAAGAATTGAAAATTTTTAACTTTCCACAGAAAAGGTTAAATTATCAGCTGCTCCAATAATGAATCCGAATAGAATTAGTCAGAAACGGAATTCAAAAGAATGAAAAATTTATTATTTTTTTTAATTTCTCACTTCTTACTGGGAACTTTCTCTTCCCAGTAAAAATATTTATCGATTGTTACGTAGAACATTGATGTATTTTTTTGAACCAAAATTTTAAATGTCAAAAATCGTAAAATTGTATTTTAGTTAAAAGAAAATTATGTTTATAACTTGAGTTTCTATAGTGATGACAAAATCGATAATTTTTTAAAAAAATGTCATAAAGTTCAAGGTTTCCACTAACGTTATTATCGAGGTCGATATGTTTATTATTTTTTTTAAAATAGGCTTATACATGAAAACTGTCATACATTTAAACGTTTTATCAAATGAAAATGCTTTAACTCTCTTCGCTTTTGACAATGTTGTGCACAGGTGTTAATGTTAATCAGTTGTTTCAATAAAGTATTTTAAAAATATAATTTATCTAACAGAGTTTTTCTTTAAATTTAATTATTGAAGATATTATTTTATATTTATATAAGAAGGGGAGGTCACTCTTTTGTCAATTTAAAATTTAAAATCCTTTTGATAGAAACGTAAGGAATTTAATTTTCTACATTTTAAACATTTTAAAGTTATATTTGAATAAAAATTATAATTTTTTGGCAATAATAAATGATTTGAGTAACATAACCTAAAATTTAACAAATGTTTTTTAACTTTCTTATGAACAGAAAATTGTAATTTTTATTCAAATGCAACTTTCAATCGTTTTAAGTCTTCAAAATTAAATTCTTCGCCTTTCTCCACCAAGACGAATTTAAAGTTTAATTTGTGTTTTTCTTTTAAATTAGGAAATTATGACATTGAACTAACTTTTGATTTGAGTGGTCGTCTGATTCTTCCTTAATTTAAGCAGATAAAAAAAAAGGAAAAAGGGAAAACTGTGATTCCTGTAATAATATAAAATTAGGTCTTTATTTTTTTACAAATAACAAAAAACAATTGATATTTGAATTGAGTTGTTGTAATGCAATTTCTGTAAGGTATGAAAAAAATAGAGTTGTAATTGTTGCAGATAGTTAGAAAAAGATCTAATCAATCCCTTATACAATATGTATTATACATATATAAGATAAAGAGAAAACTAATCCCAACAGTTGTACGGTTTTCTTTGTCGTATGAAACAAAAGAAAAACAAGTTTATGAAGGTGGATAACTGAAAATAAATTAATGTTTCGTCCAACAAAGAAACTTATTATTAGGATAGCAATGAAATTAATCATATTGAAGTAAATTTACCATGTTCGTATGGAGAAAAGGTACCGGCATCAAGATTAATATATGGATCTATTTTTATAGAGGTAACGTGAATGCCGCAATGTTTCAAAATTGTGCCAAAAGAACTGGAAATAACCCCTTTACCCACACCACTAATTACACCACCGGTCACTAAAATATACTTCATTTTTAATATACTTTTTTCAAAATTAGAATCCCAAGTTTTCAATGGAAAATATTGTAAGTCAACACGTGCTTTTGCTACTGTAAACTACCATAGACCATAGGAACATGAGATGCTAATTTCATGCTTAAAGTGGTGACTATGATGCTCAGGCTCACAGCTTTTGTAAAAATTGTCCAGAATGGAAAATCTACATTGGAGTAAGAGATACAGATGGTAGTCTGTCTCTCTTACTCCAATGTAGATTTTCCATTCTGGACAATTTTTACCGAAGGTGTGAACGCGACTTCAACGTTTTTCGCAGTTTCTTTTTCTACTGACAAAAATGTGAATACACCCTTATACTGCATCAGAGAAGATATTGTCCGTTGGCCTTAACACTGACGTAATGCTAATGTCGTCTGCTAAGATGTAACAAAATGATTTATTGAAAATATAATTTCAAAAAACATTGATCAATAAACAATATATCAATTATCGTTTAAAAGTTTCAAATTAAGTACACATTTTTTTAATTTAGTGAATAGAAACATGAAGGAATCTGAAATGGATACAAAAGGTGCAATAAAGAATCGAGAAGCTCTATACAGATTAATAATCAGGTTAAATGTTTTCTTTAATTATAATTTTAAATATAAACCGATTACAATAATACACATTTAATACTTAATGAAATTTTCATTTTGAAGCATTATGTGTATATGTGAATACTTTAATATTTATAGAATATGTTAACAAGTTTTAAATTGTAGCATAAACTCGAGTGAACAAATTTTTCAGGTTATATTATGATTTGTAAATTCAATTTTGTTGTATGCGTTTTGAAAAAATGTAAAAAAAAAATAATAAACGTAGCACTCATTGACTTTTCTTGAAAAATATTACTTACTATTATAAAGTAATAATCAGAGAAATTATTTTTAAGGTAATTTTTTATTCAATAGTTATAAAATAAAATCAATCAGAAAATAATTTGATCCTTTTTGAATTTTTATTTTTCTTAAAAATTGGTAGATTTTGAAATCAATGCGTAACTTTGTAGAAAATATGTCTTTAAATCTACAAAAAATTGCTGAACGTAAAAGGTGATTTTCATCATTTTTAATGCATTTTTTTTAAATTTTTGTTTTTAGGTTGAAAATGCTAAAAAAATATTGTTATTCAATTTTTTTTTATATGGAAATTCGTTTGTTTATTTTTCTAACTAATTTTAGATCTGAAATTAGTTAAAAAAATAAACAAATGAATTTCCATATAAAAAAATTGAATAACAATAGTTTTTTTAGCATTTTCAACCTAAAAATACAATTATTGTCATAAATTACAATATTCATCACAAGAATACAATTATTTTAAAAATTTATTAAATTCTTCGCAGAAATTCAATTTTTAATCCGTGTCGAAGACTCGGAAATAATATTTTTATAAGTTGTTGAATTCGAATGTTATGAAGAATTGAAATTCCTACTGAAAAATAATAATTATTAAATATTTATTTAAACAAGAAGTTATTGATGTTTTTGAATAATTTTACAATTAAAGAAATTTGTAAATAAATTTGTAATAAAGCATTTTTTTTGAGTAACTAATAATTTTTATAGAGAATCAGAATATTCTTTAGGGTCAGGGAAAAAGTGAAAATTTGGTCTGGAAATCAGGGAAAAGTCAGGGAAAATTAAAATTAAATATTTGTGGCAACCCTGCGCAACTGAATAAGATTATTGAAGTTTTTAATAATTGAATTTATAAAGCAGTGAAATGTTGGGGAATACAAAATGGAGTTTTTATGACAACACCGAATAATGTAATAATTGATAAGTTCAGTTCCAAGTGAATAGCTTATTTTCCTATAAATTTAAACAAAGACGTTTTTTAAAAAAATAAGTGAACAGTGGTATTGGCGGAACAAATGTCTTTTTGTATATTTGTACCATATTTCTGAAAAGTGAGTGGATACGAAGATATTAAGTATATTAAATTTACAGCCAACTTTTCTACGATGGTCACCAGACACTCGCTGTTCAGTTGTCGAATACACTTCAAGCAGACCCACCATGTCCTCCGTCAGATCGTTTGTTTCATTTAATGTTAACTGGCATGGCCCACGAACCAGATCGAGCTAAAAAGGAAGTCGGAAGTAACTGCACTTTCTCCTCACTGGACAATACAATCGGTCCAGGTTTAGACTTGGAGTTCGAAACCGAAGCTCAGGTGCAAGCACCAGAACCCGCTCAATATGAAACCGCTTATGTCACTTCTCACAAGGGCAATTGCCGAGCGGGCGCCTTCTCCGCTGACGGACAATTAATTGCCACTGGATCGGTGGACGCATCGATTAAAATATTGGACGTCGATAGAATGCTGGCTAAATCGGCACCAGACGAAGTTGCAACTAGTGATCAAACTGGAGGTCATCCGGTAATTCGAACATTATACGATCATCTTGAAGAAGTAACTTGCTTGGAGTTTCATCCTAGAGAACCCATCTTGGTGTCTGGAAGTCGTGACTTTTCCATAAAACTTTTCGACTTTAGCAAGGCTAGTGTTAAGAAAGCATTTCGCACAATAACAGATGCCGATCAAATTAGATGCTTATCATTCCATCCGACTGGCGACTTTCTAGTTGTTGGTACAAATCAACCGGTCGTTCGATTATATGACGTTAATACTGCTCAGAGTTTTGTGTGCAGTATTCCCAATCACCAGCACACTGCAGGGATTACTAGTATTAAGTATTCGCCAGACGCAAAAACTTATGCTTCGGCAGGGAAAGATGGAAGTATTAAAATATGGGACGGTGTTTCCAATAGGTGTATAAATACATTCGTGAAGGCGCACGATGGATTCGAAGTGTGTTCCGTAGCCTTTACGAGGAATGGAAAGGTAAGCATATTCTTTATTCTTATTTATTAAGTTTTCATTAAAAGCTACTACGTGGTTCTCTGTTCCTGATTTCTTTCAAGTTAACTAATTTCAGTATGCCTTATGCCTTATGCCTCTTTCTTTTTTCCTCCTTGAAGGAAAAATGACCTTTGTGAGAAGCAATATTGAGTTTAGATTTTTTGTTCAATAATACCAGGCTTCGCACTCATTTACTATTTTTTTTACGTTATGCTACTATTTGGGTACTTTTTTTAAATTTCAGACACTAAAAGCCACTAATTCTGTTCTTTTTAGAATTTCCACTACTTTGTATTCGCTAATACTAGACATCAAAAAACTATATCTTCAATTATTCAATTATTTTCCAAAAATGTTCGAAATTCAATTATTTTGAATATCTAATATTTTCATCAAGTTTCGCAAAAAAATTCAATTATTTAAAAAAACATTGATAAAACTCATCCAAAATTCAATTATTTTCATAAATAATAATATGTCCACACGTATTCAATTACTTTAGAATATCAGTTTCAAAAAAATGTCGAAAAAATCAATTATTTAACAAAATTTTTATACAATTCTTCACAATAATTCAATTACTTTCACTATAATAATAACATTTTTCCTAGAAATTCCACAAGAATTCAATTATTTAAAATAAAATTTTCATAATATTTATTATATTTCTAAAAAAATTAATTATTTAAAACAATGTTTATAAAATTCTTATAAAGAATTCAATTATTTTCAAAATGACAAAATTTTCACAGAAATTAAATTTTTATAAATAATAAAATCCTTCTCAGGAATTCAACTATTTTCATAAATAATAATACTCATCGCAGGATTTCAATAATTATTTTTAATACAGTTTGACAGCGATTGCTCGAGAAATGTAATTATTCTTAAAAATTTGATTTTAAATTCTAGAAAAAATCAATTATTTAAAATACAATTTTAATTAAATATTTTTGAAATAATTCAATTATTCTTTTAGATTTTAATAAAATTCTTCTGAAAAATTCAATTATTTTTGAACATTTTAATAAAATTCTTTGCAAAATTCAATTATTTTTATAAATAACAATACTTATCACAAGAATTCAATTATTTTCAAAAGTAATAAAATTCTTTAAAGAAATTCAACTATTTTAAAAAATTTTTAATGAATATCTCGTCAAGAATTCAATTATCTTTACAAATAGCAAAATTTTTTGTCAACAATTCAATTATTTTCAAAAATTTTAATAAAATTCTTCGCAAAATTTCAATTATTTTTAAAAGTTTTTCGCATTTCAATAATTTTCAATATTCACTATTTTCATAAAGATTTAATTATTGAAAACAATTTTTGATAAAATTCTACGAAAACATTGAATTATTTTCATAAATAATAAAATTTCATTTAGGAATTCAATTATTTTCATCGCAGAATTTCAAATATTTTTAATACATTTTTTAATAAATTCCTCGTAGAAATTAAATTATTTTCAAAAATTTTTTTTTTTTAAATTCTCGTCAAGAATTAAATTATCTTTATAAATACTTAGGTAGCGAAATTCTTTTCAAGAATTAAATTATTCTCAAAAATTTTAATAAAATTCTTGGCCAAATTTCAATTATTTAAAAAAGCAAAATTTAATAAAATTCTTCTCAAGAATTTAATTATTTTTAAAAATTGTTAATAAAATTCTTCGTAAAAATTAAATTTTAAGAAACATTCAATTATTGAATAAATTATTAATTTTTGCATGTATAAAATTGAATTCTCGTAGATTTAATTTAATTTAAAATTATGAGTTTCGGTTATAATTTTAGATAATAATTGAATATTAAATCTAAATTTTTTTGAGTATCTAATCATTTTTAGAGTGAATCAGAATATTCTTTGGTGTTAGGGAAAAAGTCAAAATTCTGTCTGGAAATCAGGGAAAAGTCAGAGAAAAACAGCGTTAAATTTTTGTGGCAACCATTAATTATTAATGTCCATACATTATGCTAAGTCCTTTCTAGACAGGAATGGTTATTGTTCAGAAAAGAAGTACTGTCTAATTGCAAAAGTTCTTTGAACAGGAATCATTCCTGTCCAGACAGTATTCAATAATGTTTTTTTCTCAAAAAAGGTTCTAATTAATATAATATATTTCCAGTATTTACTATCGTCCGGAAAAGATTCATTAATTAAATTATGGGAATTATCGACCAGTAGATGTCTTATAGCATATACCGGAGCTGGAACTACAGGTAATAAAATAATTAAATAAGTAAAAGATGTTTTAGTTTTTCTGCTTGGCCTAATGGACAAACTTTCAATGCACCATGTTTAATTATTACAAACTATTAATAAAATTCTTATACTTTTTAAAGTTACATAACTTTTTGTTTTGTTTTGTTTTTTATTAACAATTTAAATATTTGTCCGTAGTATCACAAATAGTGTTTATTTGCAGGTAAACAAGAACACAAAGCACAAGCTGTTTTCAATCACACGGAAGACTACGTGATGTTCCCAGATGAAGCAACAACTTCTTTATGTGCATGGAATTCTAGAAATGCATCCAGAAAACAATTACTTTCCTTGGGACATAATGGACCAGTCAGATTAATTGTTCATTCTCCGGTGGCTCCAGCATTTTTAACTTGTAGTGACGATTTTAGAGCTCGCTTTTGGTTCAGAAGAATGCCTACTCACTAGTGTGGGTGAAACGTCAAAGTTTTCAATACTATCTTTCACTTTCTGTGTGAATTATTTATTTTTTTACTCATGCCCTTTTTGGGATTTTGTCAATTGGAGAATTTCAATAAAGAAAATGGCGTATAAACATTTACTTTATTTGAAAGATTTTTTCACAGTAACCATTTCCATTTAAATTACAGGGTCGTCCAAACATTAAGCATTCAAACGCTTAATATTCTAAATTTATGTCTATTAAAAGAAAATACTACACATCTAATATAACAATCGCGTTAGTAGAAACCTTGAACTTTAGAACAAAAATTTAAAAAATTAAAAAAAACTATCGATTTTGTCATCACTATAGAAACAAAAATCATAAACATAATATTATTTTTACATGATAACTAAAATATGGTTTTCCGAGTTTGTGTTATTTAAAAATTTATTTTAAAAAATACGTCAATATTTGAGCTTTTAAATGAAAAAGAAATTTTTTATACAAAAAAACATAGGTAGTATATTTTTTTGTGTACGGATTCAAGTGATGTAAAACAGGCAGCTAATCTCTTTTCTTTTTGAGTAATTATGATTCTTCTTGATGATGGACCAAAATCGTAATGTCTAGAACATCATTCTTCCTATATCAAGTTTCATTCTATGTAATACTTTTGGAGAAACTTTTAATCGTCGAAAAAGATCCTTGAATAAATTTAGTAATTACATAGTTTAGACATTAAAACATTAACCTTTAGAGGGCCGGAAAATTTTTAAAAATTTTACTAGTTTTTTATTAAGTAAAATTAAATAAAAAGTCAATTCGATGAAAATAGTAGTGAAAATTAATGGTGGCCACTATAGTGGCCACCCCGGCCCTCTCGAGGTTAAACAGTTTCTTTCTCATCTTACTGTATTCGATGCTTGAAGATTATTAATTATTGATTGACTTGACAAGAAAAGTTATGTTTGCTATGTGTTTGCCCAGAATAAATATATTTATTATGCGTTAAATATGAACATTCTGGCAGTTTCTCTCTGTTCTGTCAATAAAACAATTTTGGGGTACTTTTTTACCCCAGTTGTACTTCTACTCATGAGTCAGCTATGTTGTACCCTCTAGGATTAATAATTTAAAAGTAAAAATAATATTTTATTATAAATATTTTATTTTACTTATCTATGAGTTACAGAATTTCAAATTTTAAAATGCCAAGAATCAAATAATTTCTTACAATTAGAAGAACTATCTCTACTTCTTCTAATTGTAAGGAGTTATTCAGATGATAATTTTTTTAGTTCGGAGGAGTGGGAAATTTCTGTCGATATAATAGTATGGAGAAATACACAATATACTAGTGCAGGAATCAATAGCAATTAAAGGTATTTAACTAAATAAGGTAAATACTCACAAGAAATAACTTATCACAATCATCAAGTGTTTCTGAATGTTTAAATGCAAATGGTCTACAGTTTTCTGTCATTAAGTTTGCTGGATCCACAGAGTTCGCACTAACATAAATAGTATATCTGCTGCTTTCTACAAATCAACAGACAAGTTCTTTTGTCTCACTCTAAACATTTTCAAGTTTTTTGCAATTAATTACTGAACATCGTCTCCATGGTAGACAATTCAATTCATTTTTATGCATGTGATTTAAAACATTGTCTCCATGGTAGATTTAATTCATTTTTGTGTATGTGATTTTTAAAGAAATCGGTGGATTCACTCTAATAGAAAATTATTAAAATGGTTTAGTAAAGTGCTTAAAAGAGAAACTTAAACTGTACCAGGTAATATTTCTTTCGTATAATAATAACAACCACACGGTGAATTTAATTAACTTTCTTGTAAAAGCAGCAATTTCATATCCCCCCAACTCTTTTCCGCAACAATGTCATAAAAATTCATTCCTAATCTTTATCAAGTTCTCGAATTGCCTTCTTTTTAAAATAGCAGTGAACAGAATAATTAGAGGATTATAAAAAACAGAATATTTTGACGAAATGAAACTCATCAGTAAGGAGTTATATGTCATTGTCATTTGGAAAGCAATCTTAGAAGCATTTGCAATTGGAAATCACTATGACGGATTGGTAAAGTATCTAAAGAAAGAATCGAAACTGCATCACGTAGTATTCTCCTTTGATAATGAAAGAAACAACACAGACGATTCAGTAAGTTTTCTTATCAAGTCAATCAATAGAAACTTTCCATCTTCAAGTATCGAATACAGTAAGAAGAATGATGATCTGTTTAGATTTTATCTAAAATCTCTTAAACGTTCAAGAAAGACGGCGCTATTTGTATTCGTAAAAGATAGTGTAAATATATCCACTGAAGTGTATGCAGGATTTTTTCTAATGATAAGAAGCTTATCGCAATCTCTACCCATGCCGAAATGTTTAATCGTACATTCTCATGTGTTACCTGACGTTAATCTGAACAAAACATTATATTATCTATGGAAAAGAGATTATTTGGACGTTACGATTTTGGTCTACCATGAAGAAGAGTCCAAGTCACTGAAGGAGAAAAGCGACAAGCTACCTTTTCTGCATCGTTTGAATCCGTTTTCAAAAAAGTACACTGCCGTTCAGTTGTCGAATAGAAGTCAATGGTTTCCAAACAAACTTAAGAATTTACGTGGATACCCTTTAAAATTCTTGATATCAGACGGAAATAAATCGGTGTCAACTAAATTCAGCACAGGAAAGAAATTTGCTGAAATTTTATCACACCACATGAATTTTAGACCTTGCATTCATAAAGCTATTCCACATCAAAGAGTGACTGCTCAAGCACTTTTAAATAAAAAGAAAGCTGAAATGTTTCTAAACACATTTTTATTTGTAAATTATTTACAAATAAATGCTTTAGAATTGGGTTATGTAATAGAGTCTGATGCAAGAGCTGTAATTCCGAGAATTACAAAATCTTCGAAAGTAATTGTTCTTTCACTAGAGTTCCTGTACATGCTTCTGGGAACTATTGGTACGATTTGCGTACTTAAATTGACTGCGATTATGATGCGATTCAACAAAAGAACATGGACAGTATCGAACATCAGTCAAATGATAATGGGACTGTCCGTTATCGAGGAACCAGTTGAACCGACGGAGAGAATAGTGTTTGGAACTGTATTACTCGCTTGCCTCGTGTACACAGGCTACTTTTTTTCTGTCATCTTGGACCTCTCACTGCAGTCTACACCAGAGATAGAAACTCTTGCAGATCTCGCTGCATCGTCATTGACACATGTAATCAGAAATGGGATGTTATGTTTTCTAATGACATTAAGTTCTAACCTTCTTATCAGAAAATTAGCACAAAATTCTATTGCAGTTCCAGCTATGAAATCAAATTTGGAATGTCTTCTATATTTGAATGATTATCAAAATGTGTCTTGTATTGTCGATAGAGCAATAGCACACGTTAATCACATAAAGGAGTTAAAAGGAGAATTTAATGGAAAGATGTTGTCAGAACCAGTTGCTCATCTAACCGAAGGATTTGTTTCAAGACATAACTCTCCGTTCACTGATCGCTTTAGGGAGATTATTATGAAAGCATCAGAACATGGTTTTATTGCAAAACTCTTAAAAACTGTCAAACTAGAGCATCAGATTGTGGAGTTACCACAGGAAATCGAAAAAGAAAAGTTATTGCTGATCTCTTTGTACGTACTTTCGATTGGATTTTCACTGTCTTTTCTTGCATTTCTTTTTGAAATTTTCGCAAGTATTATCAGTGAAAGAATGTTTGTTTTTTTAAGGAGATTAGCATAAACATATTAGCATATTATTTTTTAAGTTCAACTTGGTTTCGGAAACTGCTGAAGATAAAAGTTATTGGAATTTTTCTAAATTAAATTCAGTTCATTGACAAGTGAAATCGTAAACTTTATATAGAGTTTCATATTTGTCTTTAATGGCTGAGGGGTTTAAGACTCAATGCTTCAAGCCAAAGGTGTCAGAGTTTGCCTACCTTCTATATTCCTTTTCTTATATCTAAAAAATCAGCCAATGGAAAAGCTGAATTCAGTTGGAATTATTGACACGAACTATAAAGAATATATAAAGTGGGCAAAACGCGTCAAATTAGTGCATTCCCTGAGAGAAGGCATTCCTGAGCAAGACTGTACGTACTTACGATTGGATTTTCATTGTCCATTCTTGCATTTCTTTTAAAAATTAGTGCAAGGGTTTTTGCTTTTTAAATAAATTCATCTAAAAATGTTCATTGTGAAATTTGCTATAAATAATCCTATATTAAAAAACCAGTAGAACCAGGTAGAAACAGGAGCCTACTTGCTTTGAGTTGGTTATTGCCACGTAAGTTCCAATTTCAAACCAGATGAAAATATTATTTTCATCTGGATTGAATTTGGAATGTCAAGTTAAAAATGAACTGGTGTCAGTTCAGACATTACAGTCAACCGCAAATTGCAAATAGGTTACATTGTACAACATGAACTTGTTTCAACTTGGATATCGATTCACAATTGGAAATGCAAGATGGTTAAAAATTCTTATGACCATTAACAATTTTGTATTCTTAATACATTCCAAACATTTTAATTAAACTGAAAGAATTAAATTAAAACTTGTACCCTATGGGAATCGAACACCGCACTTATGACACATCTATCTAAACGCTTAACGACTACGCGGATATCGAACCGACAACTTATAAATATAAACTTCAACTTTGAAAAACGTAAGTTTTTATAAAATATTATAATTTTTGCAAGTACCTATAAAAATATAAGCAGAAATTAAAATATTTATAGTGATTTGCAATATATGCTATTAAGCCAAAAATATGAATTGAATGTTTAATAATTTTATGCTCAAATGTCATTTGACCGAATTATCGTTAAACCGAGTCGTCATTGCCAAAACGGTCAATTAGACGAAAAAATTTAAATTCGCAAAAATGTTAATTCCTAAAAATAACAAATCCAGACCTTACGACAAATGCGACTTATTTTAAGTTGTTATACTGTTACATTGATGTAATAATAATGTAGCATAATGTCTGTAATGTTTTAGTAATATTAGCACGTAATACTACTGTATTGTTATATGTCGTGATATTTGTTTGAAAAAAAAGTTTTTCGAAATATTCCATTTAAGAAAGAAATTTAATTGTCAGCACTTTGAAAATTGTATTTCAGTAAAAAAATATTGTTTTTAATTTTTGTTTCTATAGTGATAACAAAATCGATAGTCTTTTTACAGTTTTTCAATGAAGTTCAAGGTTTCTATTATAACGGGATTGTCATATTAGTTGTAGGTATGTGTGGTGGTTTTTTTTAAATATAAGCATACATTAAAAATATTATATCTACATTTTAATGTATTGAATTAAATAAAAGTACTTTAAATAACTCGAAAAAGCTGAAAAAACCACTGAATTCATTCTTATTATGATATTATTCATCACATTTCATTTGATTTCGTTGTGACGAATAAACGGGATTCAGACGAATTCAAAAAAGTTAATTCACTATAATTCATCTTAATTGGTTTTTTACTGGGCTGTGCTTCAAGAGAGCATTACATCACTAAGTCAGAAGTAACATATTCCCAATATATCTTGGCCTCCAACAAATTCAAATCTGCAAAATGCACATTTAGTCCAACAGCTTTCTCCTCTCCAATCTCATGCTCGTGTTTTTTAAAAGGATAGATGGTGGTCTTAGCAAGGATATGCTATAATAATTGATGAGTATTTTTAGGGTAATAAAATGAAAACAAAGTTTTGTATTCATTTACTTTACTAAGTAAAAATTTCATTATCTTATTTTACTTACAAAAAATGCGCCTCGTGTGGAAGCCACGCATAATTCTTGTGTAGTTTAATGTGTTGTCCCACACATTGGTCTAACAATTAATATTTTGCAAACTGTTTTCATATTATGTAAAAAATTATAGTTTCGTGAATTACAGATATTTTACGATTTTTTTTAATTTACATACTTGTTCGTCAATTTCTTTCACATGACTTAATAAAATAAAGTAGACAAAATGAAATTAATAATTTTATATCACTGAAATTGTTTTTTATCTTAAAATTTTTGATAATAGAAATTATCAGAATGATGTGCGGGTCAACACTGCTTAAAATGTTAAACAGAAACCGGTAACGACTTAGATGCATGCTTCATATTCGCTTTTTCCCGGCATATGTTAGATTTTCATTTCTACACTTGCTCATTATTTTGTGCTTATCAGTTCATTTTCTATCTGTCAGACTTTACTTTAAATGATTTTAGAAATATTAACGGGCTCAATTTGCTTGAATAGCAACGTGCTAAACAAGAAATGAAATTAAAAAGAAATACTTTAATTCTTTAAGCAACATTTCTTTTTAGCTTCGAAGATAGTTAAGTTTATGTTCTAGATATACAAATTTTTAAATTTTATAATTTATACAAGCTGTTTTAGTTTGATTGCTCATGTTCAGAAAATGTCAATGTATTGAGTTTTTCTAGTAGACACTTTTAAATTACTTTTACTTTTATTTCCTTTTTAGTTAATTCAACTTGTTTTAGCATAATTATATGATTCTTATAGCCAACAGAAACAGGTAAGAACCAATTTTAATCCAGTTTCTGTTCGTCATTTTAACCAATACACGCATTTCGCAAGCATGATTATTTTGCTCACATGAGTTCAAGACTTTCTCCATGTAATCCGAATCTTTGAAATCAGATTCAAATCCATATCGTCAACTTGGCTAACCCTAGAACTCAATCCCTTATTTTTGAAAATTCAGTGCCGAAATTCAACAAAATCAGTCATACTGTTCTTCGTTTTAGAATATTAACTTTTGCAAAATGTAGAAAAATTATTAAGATAAAAAAATGTTTGGCATACGATATACAACAGAACCATTTTATTCCTTTAAATATAGAAATATTTTTATAAGGTTTGAAGGCTGTTTTAGTTATTGACTTGCGATAGTAAATAAGTAGAAATATATTATATTGACAATAAAATAGTGGATGTAAAATATAACCCAGTTCATTGTTTTACATTTGCATCACATGATAAAAATTATAAATATTTTTCACTACTTGCAGGCAAAAAGAACCTTTGTAGCTTGACAAATGGTTTCCTTACCATGAATATTATGCAGTAAATAACAATTTATCTGTCCAGTTAAGCAGCAAGGGATTATATACCACAAACTTAAGTAAGGTTATAAAAAAGATTATAAAATTATAAATATAAGTAATTGATTATTTGATTATAAAAAATAATTTAACCTAATCATTTATTGGATGTCCTAAAATTAGCTGAGTTGGCGATATTGAATTTTCATTTAGGATATTGTACATTTCACTCAATTTTCTATCGTCGCCTTTTTATTTTTTATTAAATTTAAAATTTCCTACTTGTTAACAGAAATTAAAGAAAGCTTGTAATTGACTAGTGATTCATTCTGCGGACATCCATGGCGGCAATATCATCTACAGAAATAAGTTTTTCTATTGGAATACATGAGAGTTCACCACCAACCCCTAACGATTGGGGTTGTTGCCACCTGGCTTCTTTTTCTACTTCTTTAGCCTTCACCTCAGCTTCCCTAGCTCTTCTTTCTTTTAATTTTAATGAGAATATTGCCACTGACCTAGCCCGTTTCATCAAACTTTGCTTAACTCGTGTCTTCTTCGCTTCTTTTTCTTCTTTCGCTGATTTTTCTTCCTCTTGATTAGATACTGTTTTACTAGAATCTGAAACTCCTGCTGACTCTTTTTCCCCGTAAGAATAGTGATGATGTGTACTTAATTCTTTTGTCTGATGATGGGGTTGATGTTCTTGATGCTGATAATGTTGTTGATGACTTTTATTAGCAGTTTCTTTCGCTGTATCTTTGTCAGGTGATACTTTAATTTTCTTACTTCGATGTGTTAAAGACCATGGCAGTGCAGAGCTGGAAATATAAGAAACATGCTATTACCAGTCAATAAAAGATGGTAAATTGAACTTTTATCTGATTTGTTCGTTCAAAATATAAAAATTTAAATTAATTACTATCCCCTACTTACCGTAGATCACTGTCTGAAGAAGAACCGAAATCTTTAGAAACAATACAGTCTGTAGACTTGTACAACAATAACTCATCTGCATTGCCTCTTCGTGTTTTTGTCTCATTTATTTCGGAATCGCTAGATTTTCTTCCAGTTGATTCCAACCCCAACTTACGTATCCAATCAATGCCTCCATGAGGGCCAATTGTCACATGATGTCGGAAATTCTCATCACTGCACGATGATTCAGGCTCAGTTTTTAACCATTCACTTGGTCTTCTACCTGTAACATTATAATTCGATTCGAGTTAATTATCAAAAGGAAGTGTGAATGTCTCAGAATCAGTTGCCTTGAGGCTTAAGTGAAAAAGGAGTCTTGAGTTTTCATCAGAATGGGATCACAGAGAAGCGCCTCAAGACAACTCGGAAGCCGAACTAAGGAAGATCCTAAGTAGTTATTTTATTCTTACCTTTTTCTCCTCCAGGGATAGAACCTCTTGGTAGAGTATGTAGGTCTTGAGAACTAGAAGAATTGTTATTTAAAATGAAAGAAGTGCTGGAATCACTGCCGCCATCATTATTTACAGGAGCTGTAGGAGTTGTCTTTGAAATTCTAAAATCACTCAGAATATTGGCAGCCTGATCATCTGGTGTACCTCTTTCTGTCTTAACTTTAGTATTTAAGTCTTCAGACTCATTTACATTAAGTTCGAATTTTTCTTCACCATTATCTCCTGTTGGACTCACTACGAATCTTCCTGTGTAAAAATAAATTATACAGTGAATTAGCGTAACATTGAAGTTGTTCAGAACAGTCACGTGTTGGGTTTTAATGACATATTAAAAAATGTATCTTTAATGTACCTATAACTGTTGGCGAATTATGATCAGATGATGGTGTTGAGGAAAGCTTCTGAGCTGCCTCTCTTCTTAAAAATTCAACTTTTGCCATTTCTGTTGCTACCCAACTTGGAATATCAGGAACGGCAGAAATAATTATAAATCTGATTGCTATCATGATGTGTTCTAATGCCACTATTAAAAGTATTGTTTGAGTAGCTGACATTTCCGGAAACATTCGTTGTACTTGACCGCTTAAACTAATTAATCCACAATTGACCAAAATTGCAATAAGGCTCATTGCTTCCATAGCGTTCTGAAAAGAATTTAATTCAAGTTAACACTACCTTACAATAACTGAACAAAAGTCTAGGTGTGTGTATTAAACTAGAACCTCTTTTGACCGTGTTGAATTCTACTAACAAATGCATGTATTATTCTTTTTCAGGGGTATACAAATTTTATAGGGGAGGCTAAAGTTTGAAAGCAGGGTTAATTTTCTTTACTCAGCAATGTATTAGGTAGATAGGCTTAAGGAAATTTTAATGTAAGATTGAAATTTCTTATAACTACATGGTTGTGCCTGTCACAATATTATTGTCATTTTTTCTTTTTGGGAAAACAACATCATTCCCAAAAAATGTCTACAAATTTGTTATGTTTAAATGCTTTTTATGTCTCAGTGACAAATTAATACTCTTTTAGACCTTGGTGAATTTTTTAGCAACGTTTTTATATTTCTTATTATTTATTATTTTTTTCACAATGTTAAGCAAAATTTATCTATTGTTTAGAAACCACTTTGAGGATGGTACTCAACTTGTACTGAAACGTCAGTTTATTGTAAATTTTTTTAAATTAAATTGATCGTCTGACCAAAGCAATTAATAATATTTCATTTTCTCTAAATTAGGTAAATAGTATGTGATTTTTTAAAAATCTTTTATGGTTGTTTTAGATTATCTGTTGCTTTCATTTTAAGTTCAAATAATGTTTTTAATTCAAGTTTATGACCATAAAAGTCTTTATTACATATCAGTTCTAATAATGAATTGTAACATTGACCTAATGGCATTTTTAGGTGATAGATGTTTTAAAATTTCTTGTACATAACTCGACATAGAGAGAATAGAGTTAATTTCAAAATATATTTATCTTGACACTGTCTACCAATGCACAAAGCCTGTAGAAGGTAGCTAAAATCTCTAGACTAATTAATTTGACTTTTTTCAAATAAAATCTTGGAGAAATTGGATCATACTTTGATAATACAGGTACAAGTTAATAATCCTTTATATTCAGGGCAGCAGGCTTAGAGAGCTTTTTATAAAAGTAACCTTTTATGCTGCAGTTAGAAAAAAGAGATTATTCATTTAGGTAGTTTTCTGGACATAAAAGGATGTTTCCCTAATTGTTGGTGCATAAACGAATTAAAGTATTCTTTTTTCTTCGTAATTTTAAAATTATTGAAGAACCCGGATAAATATTAATGATAGGAAACAAGCAGCAAGACTTGATAAGTTTACCATACTTTCCTAATTGTTTAAAATAACACATAAACATTTGATATTTCAAACCCACCTTGCCTTCTGCTTGCGATGTAACATTTTTAAAAAATATTGTTTAATATTTATAAAAATGTAGGTTTAATTTAACATAATTTCGTTTGATGTTTTGAAGCTACTTACTTGCCATGTTCCAATATTTGGAACTCTGCGACCAAACGGACGTTGAAGAACAAAACACAATTTAAAAGCATCTCCTCTAAGTTCTAAAAGATTTCCTAATAATGCTGCTAGAGCAGCCAGTGGAAACGCTGAAGAAAAGAGACAAACATATCCAAGTTGTGACAGCATCTCCAAGTGTTCTGAAAATGCGCCATCATACTGTAAAAAAGAAACAAATATTTTTCCATGTACAGTTATGTTTAACCAAAAACAGATCAAAAATATAGATTTAGTTTTGCAGTCGACGGTTTTACAGTAAAATAGCATTACTCATCAAAAATTATTTCAGGATATTTTAGCACAGTGACAATAAAAATGTAATAATAGTGATGCATTGTAGTAATAGTGCATTAAATTAAAAACACATTCAACTATTATGAGTTACATTTGCACGCCGTGCTTCTAATTGAAGAAATAATATCTGACTTAATTTCAAAATATATACATAATATATACACTGTCAGATACGAGGTGTGTCATTTGCACGTTCACAATTAATTGAAGCAAATATTAGAATTAATTTTGACTATAAGGGATTATAAAAGATTTCTCTAGAAAGAAGCAAACATAAATTTATAAAAACCAAACAATACTAATAGCTAAGTCTAGATCAAACCTTAAAAGCAAAGTCACTAAGAAGAGTATTAGTAGGGTGTCCTACTCTGTAGAGAGAACTCTCCAGTTCTGCTTGGCAAACGTTTCTAGGTTGCTTTCCTTTCCTGAGTTCCTTTTTCTCCTTCTCGTCTGTTTCATCATTAGGAGAAATTTGATGATCTTCTTCTGATTCTTTTACAAGAGACTCTTTAGTATCAGTAGGGCTTAATGCTCCAAACATCTTAAAACTCATACGAGCTAAACGTAGCTGTTCTATCAAATAAGGTATTGCCGATTCCTTTAAATTTCCAATTATTTGTCGAGCTATTAAGAGAGCAGCCAATTGCTGAAAAAATTTTAAAAATTACATTGCTTTAGAAAACTAATTATTTAATACATGTATAGAAATGGAATTTGAAAATCTAAAATAATTTATTAAAAAAAAAAATTTATTTTTTTATAATATTATTCTCACCTCCTTAAGTTTTTCCTGATCTTGTATATAAAAAGCGATGTAGAATAAGGACAGGAAGGAGTTCACAAACTGAAACTAAAAGAAATATTTACTGTAGCATATCTAGTAGATGAGCTGAAGTAAATAATGAGCCTAAAAAGCATTTCTATTTTCTACTGAGTACTTACAACATCAAATTATTAGACATATAGCCAAAGATACACTAATTATAAGTTTAAATGACCTGCGAATTAAATGAACAGAAATGGATAGTTAGGTATATATTTAGAAACCAATTTATTTATTCGTAGCTTATGGTATTGTTTTAAATTTTTTTTCATTATCTACCATTGTAGTTTTTACATACGATTATTAGTAATATTGACTTCATGTTACTATCAGTAAAGTCTAAATCTTGCCTTGCAATATTTAATTCAATTTTTTTATAAGCCACAACACCAATTTATTCGTGGAATATCTATTTATAAGTTGTGCTGTCTAAAGTCATTTTAGTGTTTCGTGCAGGCTGGTCTGTGATATATGTACAAAACTCTTTGTGTATGATACAAAATCTGTTATTTGTGTAAAGTATCATCTACACATTCTGTGAATTCCACATCAATTTTTTTCTGACTGGATGGGCTATTTTGCTTCTTACTATAATATATGTACTGTATTAAAATTTCGTCATATATCTATCACACAAAAACCTCTTAAGCGGAAAAGCTGCTCTACAAAATGAGAGTGTGTTCGTCTCATATAGTTTTGATTAACTTCTGTTTCTTTATATATTTCAGTTAACATCTTTACCTACTCTCTTAAGTTTACAACAGCTTTTAATGTATACCGCTTTTCAGATTAGAAATGTTTCTTTCAAAATTCTATTGTACATGTTATTCTATTAAAAAATTTTATGTAGGTATGTAAAATTTCGATATATTCTTGTGGGTCCAATCAGAAGTAAAAGTTCAAAGATTTGAAAATAAGTTGGTCAAGAGACATCATATGACTGTACCTATTTATAGCTTCTATATTCATAGGACATTTAGCATTTCAAAAAATATACCCCTGTCTTCTAATTAATAAAATCAACAAATTAACTTGACGTTAAGATTATTCTGTTTTTATTCACTGCTTTTGCTTGTAACTATATATTTTTAATCATTTTTGGGATCGGATCTTTTAAAAGCTCTAAAACTTAATGAATATATACAATTGTGTGCTTAATCTTGATTTTAAATATGCACCTAAAATTTAGTCAAGACGCGAGAGTAGTAAATGCCATCAGACGAAATTCTAAATATGAAAATAAGAATATCGTCTTTTTTATTCACAAATCATTGTGAGATAAGACCGCAATAAATTTATTCACTCATTCTCGAATCACACTTGCGGAAGTACTGCGCATATAAAGCAAAGACTATTTGTTAAATGGAAAATATAATTTATTGTTACCAGTGCGACTTTGTAGATCAGATGATTTTCGTACTCCGAGTCAAGACGATAGTTTTCTGCACAAAACACAAAAAAGTTGAAAATTCTATCTATTTTTAACGCCGAGTAGTATAGAAGAATAGTATTTAATTACACGGACAGAAAAAAATAATTTTGTCGCCTATTTATTATACATGTATGTAAAATGAATGCTTGCATACTAGCAGACCTGTTATTTTTTAGGACTTAAACTACAATTCTTAAAAAATGGTATACAATGTTTTTATATAAGGGAACCAAATCACGTTTTCACCACGAACATTAACATGTGTATGTTTTTGGCGCATGTAACATGTACATACAAGTTCCTGTCAATGTATTCACGTGTTATGCATTTGAACATCTTCATGATAATAAGGTACATATAAATATTCATTTATCGAATTTTTTTTCTTATTTTTTGATCAGCCAATTAAGTTATATGTTTCTATTTCTATGGAGAAAGACATCAATGCACTCCAGTTTTCAGGATCTTGTATACAAAAATGTACATGAACTTTTACAGTGATTACGCACGTAAATAGATTCCCGTAAAGTTTTATAGAGTGTCTCCCTATAGACTATAATTCTCTAAGTATCTAAACGATTACAGGTTATTTTTCTTAAATAGCAAAGTTAAAAAAATATATTTACAGCCTATCACTAAGGAGTGATGATGCTACCAATTGGTATCATTAATGAATAAACTACACGGAAAAAAATAGTGTGCTAAAAACACACATATCGAACTGGTGCGTATATTGCACGCACACTGCATGGTAGTGTGCGTGCAATATATACCCAACGTGCGTGCAATATACACAACAGTTTCGCTCATGTGTTTTTAGCACACTATTTTTTTCCGTGTAGGCATTGGTTTCAAATTTATGTGCTCCCTGGTGATTGACTGTAAAAAAAAAGTTTCACATAATATAAAAAATTTCTTGAAACCAGCATTACTGAGAATATGCTGTAGGTACTGTAACTGCTTATAGACTTACTCTTACTTTGATCGTTTTCGTGACTGCAATTTAGAAAGAGTCAATATTCCATCAGGTGGGTGATTATTGTTTGATTTTTAATGTAAACTATAATTTCTTGAAGTCGCTTGGTTTATTTTTGTATTTTTTAAGCTTCACCAATTATATCATCCCTTTGAGGTTAATTATTTTGTGTTTATTAATTTAGTAAAATTGTCTGGCAACCGCTTTAGTACATCATAATTTTGTAAAATAGAGCTCCATGTCACGCTGGATGTGACATGTGAATGATTGAACTATATCATATGTGATAGTTGTGACACCTTTCATGATTTATATTTTTTTACTTTCTTAACACTTACAATATTAATCTCTGTATCATTAATTTTCTCATGAAACATTAATTATAACTGAAACTAAAACTAAAAAATTAACTATAGAATATAGAATTCTTATAGCTGCTTCAACATTCTTGAACAAACTATATTAAAAAATATTATTCTAAAAATTTTAGATTATTATATATGAATATGAGTACGAATGTTTTCACGAATCTTCCTACAAACATGCTGTTTTCTATTAAAAAAGTGTATAATACAATTACCTAAATTTTCTTTTAAATCTAATGTCTATTTTTAAAAAATAAAATCAATTTTTTTCTTTTTAGAAATATTTTATACTAAAGGGCATACTATACGTGTACAGATAGAAATTTCAAACTAATGTTTTAATTCATATTGAACATATAAAAATGTTCATTAAAAAACAATTTTTAACACATTTTTAAAAACTAATAACACTAAATATTGATTGTAATGATGTCAACTTCACTAGGTGTATAAACGGAAAATTGTTTTAGATATTTAAAAAGATATAATTCACTTTGGCGTCACTTAACCGCTATGGAACATTTCTCAGATCCAATTGAAATTGATAATCGTAAATTATATTCGAAACATAATACTTTTTTCAGCCTAAGAGTGATCAGTGGTCTGTGAAATTTTTTGGTTAAGAAATAAAATAAAAACTCCTAAGAAACCTGGGGACTATAGACAACATGGCAGAACAATGGTCGTTATTGCTAACAAGGTTGAAGAAGTTTTACAAAATGTAGAGAATGCTTGCACTAAATCATCTATCACTCCTAGTAAAATATTAATCAAATTATATTTTGTTGGGCGTTTGTGACATCTACATGATTCTGTCCTACTCTATCTATTGTCAACTAGCTATAATATACACCTATTATACAGTCTTTCATTATATTAGTTATCAATTTCCCGTTTTGCAACCACGTTTCTGCGTGAATTAAAATAATTTTTTAGATTAGTTAATTTAGACACAAGAACTCAGCATTTTTTGTGAAATAATGAAAAGGCCTAAATAAATCTTTGTATGTTGGCTGACATTATAAAAACAATTTTTAAAGACCACTGAACACTCTTATAGCAACCAAAAGTATTAAATTAATCAATAAGCTATATGTTTCAAATGTTATTTACAATTCGTTTTTTTTGTACTCACGAAGTGAACCCGAAGTGAAAAAGTTATTAATAAATTCAAAATCGGTGCCGTCATTCTTGGTTCAAATGAAAAGAAAATCGTTACCACTAAATAAAGGAAAATTTCATGTCATTCTTTTATGAAATAAAATCAATGACACTTCCACCCAAAGCATGAAAATTATTTACTTAAAAGTATAACGCCCCTCGACAAATAAATGTTTATTCATTGTCTATGATGACATCAGCAATGACTTGAATGAAAAGTTGGAAAGATCTCTGAATGCGTGTATTCGTTTTGTATATGATTGACAAAAATTTGAGCACATCTCACAATATAGAATTAAGTCTAGACTATTAAGTGTAGCAAGTAGGAGACAATTCTTTACGGGAAATCTACTTTATTCAATTTTTAATACTAAAGTTCCACTTTAGTATTAAGATGTCACTTTTAGATTGCAAACGACAGGGTGTAAAGTCGATTTTCTGAGTTAACATTTTGATATCTGAATAAACATTTTATCGTCGCGGGGCGTCGATATGTTTTAAATAATATATATCGTAATTCATAAATTTCATTATTTAATTTTCACGGTTTTGAAAAAACTGGTATTGCCTCAAAAGCAGAATTTTTTCAGTGCACATTGCATTTTTCTGGATAACTTACCAATTATTGTGAATTAATGATTTCTTATCCTATTAAGAAATCAGTAGATATGCAAAATGTGTCATTCCGCCTGGCAAGAGGAAAAAAGCGTTACCAAGCACAGTTCCTAATAATAGTTTCAGATTTTGATCATCTGATATTATTTTTCTTATCAATAAGAAGAAAAAATACAATTTATTTATAAAAGAAAATTTTAATCTTTAACTTTGTTTTCTTTATGTTACCAAATGGGTTCGAACTCATAGGTTGTACATATGTATGTACACAAATTTGTATTATATGTTGTTAATAAGTGTTTGAATAAAAAGATTGAACATAATTGAGTCATTAAAAAAGTTATAAGATTTGTTCATTAAAATAGAAAAATGATAATAAAATTGATACCTATATCATTCAGCCAAACAGCGACTTTAAAGTATGCCTCATCCATGAGAGCTATCACAATTGCAAGTAAAACCTTTGGAACATAGCTCAGCCAAAAGCAGTATCCTGAAGTTCCCAATTTTTTATCCCACCAGTCCTGAAACGGTAATTGATCTCTGTTATAGAATCTGTTAATAGTTTCATTTAAAATATAATTCTTTAAAATAAAAATATTTTTTACCTGTATTTGAAAACTGAGTATCATTATAATGAAAACGACGAACAAGCAGATGGCAACGATAGGAACGCTGATGAAATAACGAAAAATGTTTCTTTTCCACCTTGGATACGTTGGTTCCAATCTCCCTGTCACTGGTGAAATTGATAAGGTGCCCTGTTAAAAGTAGTAAAGAATATGAGTTTGTTCTTTAATTTTTTCATTATTACAAAAAATATGAATTAATAATTAACTCTAAAATATGCATAAGAATAAATTCTTACCCTAAATAAAGGTCTTGGTTCTATTAGCAAATCATCCCTTTGATCTAGTGTACCCCATCTGTATGCTAGCTCTGCTCCTCTTCTCTTCCAAGCCTCTAAGTAGACGGTAGCCCAAATTACATTAAAAATTGAAAATAGGACATACGCTACATCTTCCACCGCTTGATTCCTACCAATGATGCCGACCTGAGAAAAGTGAAAAAATGTTCAATTCTTAAATTTTAATACTTCTCTGTATTACATTCATGCTTATTCTGCTTAATTCATTATTAGAATGCAATTCGTTTCCTTTCTTTTAAAATAGTATTAGAATAAATATTGGCAACAAATTTTTGATTACAAAACGTTCAGACGCTTTCAAGGCACTTAAAACTACTACAGACAATTTTAATTTAATCTTCTCCTAGCAGTATAAGTCCCTATTGTTTCGTAGTTTTATTTTCAATTCCTTAATTTTAATAAAAAGTTGAAAAAGGATCAGCCATCGTAACAGACGAAGCTTCAGGAATGCTTGTGAACTTTTTAACATCATAAGTGGTTTCAAAAATCAATTATACTTTGAAAAAGCAGTTAAGCTAATCGATAAATAGTTTTTATGCCGTTTTAACATCGAACCGCATTTTTATTGGCTTAAAGCTTCATTTTAGAGTTGAAATAAAGTAAACAATTTGTGTATCTTCAGAGCTAGCTTTCATGTGGATTTGTAAGCAAGATTTAGTGTCTAATTGAAGAGCTTAAAGTGTATAATAGTGTTTCGGTTCATTATAAGTAAGGTAGTTAAATAAAGTGAATTTTAGTGTTAAGAACTAAGCGCGTGAATTTTAACTGCATTTTAAAATATTATTTTCATGACATTTTTTTGGGAGAACTTTTCTATTTCTATTTAGTTTTATTAAAAAACATTTTTTTTATCGAACATGAATTACAGATTAAAAATAGAAATGTAGTTTTAAAATTTAGTATATTCAGTTCGTACTAACATACTACATAACCGCAGTAGGTAAAGTTAGTAATAAATAAGTTTAGTATTCATTTGAATATAAAAAGTAGAATTTTTAATATTTATCGCCAAATGTTTTTTAATATTATAACTTCTTACCCAATATATGACACCCACTGCTGCTGGAACAATTAGTGCGGTAGTGTAGTGTCCTAGCCATGCAAAATACATTGTAATTTTTACTCCAAAATATTTACAAATATCATCTAAAGGTTGAGGACTCATGAAGGCCTGGACCCACGTTTTTTGCAATTTTTCCAAGGCGGGCAGCTCATGAAGCGGAAATACCTAATAAGTGGAAGGGAATATTATTATGAAAAAAGGATTCATTTATTGACATTAGAAATACAAACACTTATTAATGTTAATATTTATAATGTGAAAGAATGTTTACCTGTGAAATTATTCCCATCGATAGACATTTCGGAATTATAGCCTGCCCTTCAACCAGCTTTAGAGCAGGCACATTACAACTATCTTTTGAAGTGGCTCGGAGAGATTGCAGAATGTGTAAAAGGAGTGACTGTCTTTCCTGCGTAGTGAAGAACTGCAATTCATCGCTGCTGTTTTCAAAGCATGATACCATTGAACCTACGAATTCTTTTAAACCACCACCAAATTCTTGTCTCAAGGGCTTTGGAAGGTGAATTTCTTCTGCAGCTTTTAGGAGACTAAAAAATACGTTAAATGAACTCAAACATTGCCAATAAAATCTCTACAAATTCTTTGTACTTGAAGCTTAGCCTAAACAAAGGTGTTTTATTTTTTACATACATTTTGTAGATAAAGAAAAGAGTTCTATGTTTGTACTTACACAGGAAATGGGGCAGTTAAATAAAATCCATAACTATCGGACGATGCTAGGTGGCGAACATGTACAACTAATCCTGGAGATCCTGTTCGCAGTCTACCCAGAAGCCAAGTTAAAGTTTCATCGCTTGCTCCACTTGGAAACATAATAACGACGTCGCATTCCTAAATGATAATTACAATTAAAAAATAAATAATGAAAACTTTCTTTTCAAATATTAAATGTTCTACTGAATAATGTAAACAAATAGTCACATTTGTGGTTTGTATATGTGCTAGGAAAATAGAAGAATCCGCCATTTAGCTTATTTCCTTGGCATTAAGCTAAATGCCAGCAAATATAAATGATTCTTAAAAAATGACTTTTCTATTTGTCTGAAATCAAGTAGTCTTGAAATGCAAAGGAAGTGATTAATACAATGGTTCAAGTAATCGAAGTAGGTATAGAGTAGAATTCGGTTTAAAGAAAGATCAAATTTATTGTTTCCAGTGGTTTTAACAGTAGAGGTCAAGTTGATTTAATTTACTTTCAGTGTTTCAGTCAACTACGGTCAGAAAATACAATTAGCTTTTTAATTATCAAGACCACGCGCCTAAATTTTTACATTTACGACCTCTTAAATCTAAGCATGCTGCTAACGTTATTGAGGAGTTAAATTTTTTTTTCACCTTTGGGTGCCATTGCATCCTCTAAACTGACAACGGGAGAGAATTTGTGGCCATTGTTATTAATGAACTTGCCGTTATATGACCAAGTTGCAAAATTGTGCTCGGGGGACCAAGACACCCACGATCACAAGACAGCGTCGAAAGGGCAAATGCGGATGTAAAGAACACATTGAGAGCTTGGATAATTGACAATCAATCATCTAACTGGTCTCATGGTTGTTTTAAAGTTCAGGTAATATAAAGTTTAAATTGTAAACAGAAAAAGATTAAAAGTTGTACTATTATTTTATATCCGAGAAAAAGCTAACTTGATAATCAACGTGATTGCTATAATCGATAAAAAATTGCTGCCAAAAAAAAACGTTTTCTAAAGTTTAGTTTGCTCCACTAATAATTGTCTCTTGTATAACTATTTCAGTACCTGCTGTAGATCGTGGACCATTAGAGTTCACAACAATTTTTGGTATCGCTTTAGATATCCAAAATGGTAGTATCAGTTCGGTACGAAGGGAGAAATTATAAAAGGTAAAAGATATAGATATAAATATCTCGATAATGATTGCCAAACATAATATCGCTGGTTAAAGTAGCGCTTAAAGTGAAATAGGTTGAAATCAAAAATTTCCTACGATCGATAATATTGCAGTACGATGAATACAAAGATTCTGGCACTGTTTCATCATTTACAACTATTTGCTCACAATATTTATACACGTGACTAAATACACTTTTCCAAAATATTTTTACATTAATACATTTTTTAATTAACGATGTAACTAACCTGGGTTGGAACCTTTTGAATCCATAGACGGCGGGGGGTCATCAAGTGACCTGTACATGGTACTTTTTTCCTTAATAATCGAGATGCTGTAAAAATGCATTTGAAAAATATAACACCTCATCAAGTTTAATTCCTAGATTAATATAGAGACCAGATAACAATTAATCATCTTTAATTTTATTAATTATATATTTCATGATATGTCAGCTATCAGCTTTTTCATATCTTTAGGATGAATTTATGTTTTATTTCCTTACGCCTAAAAATTGGTTCGAAAACCACCTAACTGTTGCTAAATCAATTATTATACTTCAGATTATTTTTTGAATGTACTATTTTAATACTTAAGTATGGTACTCATTTAAATTAATACTTTTTTCAACAGAGTTTTCCGTCTTTTTCCCCTTTAAGGTGACCCTCTTAATTTAAGTCAATGTGATTTATAAACTTTATTAATACATGTACATATTTTCTTTGCGTGTTTTCATACACATCAAATTAAAATCTGAGATAAATCTAGATATAATGCTTCACTCTCCAAATTTTTTGATTGTCTGAACCGATAATTGCTTCGTTCGTGAGAAAATATTTAAATATGATTGCCTTTTAATAAACCTTCATACTGAGTATGTGTTAAAATTTATATAAAACTCGGACGTTAAAAATGACTTAATATCATTTCATGCAATTTTTATTAACTAAATTAAAATATATAAACAATTTCTTCAGAAGTTTTATTATCGATTTTGAGATCTACCAATTTTTAAGAAAAATAAAAATTCAAAAGGGGTCGAAATATCTTCTGACCCATTTTATTTTTTGAACATTGAATTCCTCACAAACAATTACCATGTAAATAATTTTGTGGAAAATGGAAAATATGTTCTAAATATATAGTTGAAGATGTCAATGTACTCTCCCCTTAAGAATTTCCATTAATAATACATTATAGACTTAATTAATTACGTATTTAAACATTGTATTTTTATACAAATAAGCGGAAGTCTTTAACAATACTCCAAAAGATGGACAGATAGTGAGTTAAAGGAGAAGTTACTATAGAAAGAGATCGACAGTTCGTTATAACAATTACTTGTTATAGCAAAATTTGAGTATAATTTCAAAATATTATTTAACGGCATACTTTTGATTAGATTTAATTTTTTAAATTTAATTAAATAATTTTATTTTAAATTTAATTTAACATTAAATAGTAAAAATTTTTGAATAATTTTGATTGTATGCTAAGAGAAATATGATATTAAATCATTAAGTATTTTTCTAGGGACTTAAAATGTAATGTACTTATTTATTTAATAATTTAAACATTAAGACTAATTTATTTAATTATTTATTATTAATATCTAATTAAGCAAATTACATGTGTCTGTTTTTAATGATTATTATTTTTGGATATAATCTTTGATACATATATATGCATACATGTATTATATACATATGACATACTTTTATCCTTACAAGTAAAATTTGTTAAATTTTTAAGAACATTTTCAATATCTGAAAGTTGTGCTTCTCATTGTTAGGCAAGTAGCCAAAACGTAATATTCATTTTGATTTTATATAATTGTGACTTGCTAATCGCGCAGGGTGACTTCACCCCTCTTCTACACAAGGTTATTGAAATTTTTATTGGCGAATAGCATAAAGTGTTTTAATACACTTTTTAGTTATTTTCTGAATGATTTGGTTCATGCTTATGCATATATGTGTATAGTTTTATATATACATAAATATATGTATGTATATGTATATGTTAAAGGCAGGACATAAAGGAAATATTATTGAGCAGAATTTTATTTTTCTTGAATAGTTTAATTAACTAAATTTGCAAATTATGTCAGTTGCATTTGAAACGCATTTGTGCTTAAAAGCTTCTACAACTGAACTCACCCTTATCAAGGGTCTCCTTTGCCGCATGCATGACCTTTCTTCGCCTGGTTCCGTCACCCATTATTGTCATTGTTGTTCTATGTTTGTCACAATTTAAGTCATCATTAGTTTTATCAGTTTCATCGTTAGAATTGATTGGGACGTTATTAGCGGAAGACCCCTCGCCGCCTGACATGATGTCCCAATTAAGAGGACAACTTTCTTTTACCGCAAAAAATTATGTCGACTAAGTAGGCGATACTTCTGGCGTTGCTGTCGACCACCCTTCATGTCCCTCACACTCACTTTATGAACCTACTACCTACATTGCACCCCTTAGTAAGAATTGGTAAAGCGGTGCGCCATCTCCAAGAGTATAGACACACTGAATGTTCGATCAATGTTAATACCATCTCTAGTTAACAGTTTTAATCAACAATCATGTATTACAAATTCATACAAGTTTTTCAAAAATTGTTGACAACTTTAAGCAACAATTTTTTATGTTTATTTCCTTGAAACTTTAAAAACTTGTCATAAAAATTTATTATTTTATGCTTATGGAGATTTTTATTTGTTGAAAAATACTATTTTATCACTTGTGGGATGTAAAAAGTTCCATCTATATTTTATTTAAATAGTTTGTTATAAGTTTGTAACTTTAAAAAAAAAATTTATAGAAACCTACTTACTTTACTTATTAGAAGAAATAAAAGGGGACATTAAATTTAAAGACCAATGCCAATTCCAAATGGGAACTCTTTTTCAAAAGACATCCTAAGGATATGTTTTTTCTGACGTCTTTTGTGGACTTTGACAAGAGAGGTCTTTAGGACTTGCTAAAGATGTTCTATGTCTTGTCCATTAGATGTCTTTGAGATTTTTATAAAAAGATATTTTTAAGATAAATTAAGAGTGATATAGATTTTTCGGAAAATTCTGTTGTTATAAGTGACGATTTTGATGTATTCAAAAAAAAATTTTGTAAGTCAAAGTAGACCTGAAAATTTGTACCTACAGTGCAAACTAGTTTCGAATGATTAAAGATCGACAATTGAAATTTTGTTCTCCATATTGAGTCCGCCATGAAGAATTTTTATTTGCATTTTTGAATATGGATTCGAATTCATCTACCTTAAACATACCCAAGAAATTAAAGCAATTTAAAAGCGAATTTTAAAAATTGATCAGGCATATTAGATTTGCCGTTTTGAATTTTAAAAAACAGATATCAGATTCGTAGTCAAAAGTACACGAGTAAGTCAAAATTAAATTTTGTAAACATTTAACAGACCAATTTTAATCTATTAAATTAGAAAATATTTTTTGCAGGAGAAGGTAAATTAATACTAAAGTCTATTTTTAATTTTTGATTTATTTTTACATAAAGCAGATTATTCCTAAACTAATAAATGTTTTTAATTTATGTCTTTTGCTCTCATCATAGTTCACAAGCGGAACATATTCAAACTCTATAACTGCAAACCAAAGTATTTCGTACAATTTTCACAGAAATTTTGTCTTTCTTTAATAAAGCACATTCAATAAAATAAATTAGGCAAGTATAAAACTTTTCAAGCTCTTCACCTTTGTTTAATTTTATTTTGTGCTGTTTTCTTGATTTTTAATTGTGTATTCTAAAGTTTTATTACATTTTTTGTCTTATTTTTTCTTCTAAAATTTTTAACTTTAATTCTAACTTTAAACAATGAAATGTAACCTATCAAATATTATCGCAACTTCATACAAATAAATAATTAACGAAAAAATATAATTCGGTTATATTTTTGATAAACCATTGTTCTTAATGGTTGCATTTTACTGCATTTTACCTTTAAAGAACTGTTTCAATCTCTTTTAATTAAAATTTAAAACAAAATAAAGGCAAAATTAAATCAACCGAATAACTTAATTTTACGTAGAATGATCTACTTTTGGTTTTGACATGACACACCGACCGCGATAACAAATTTCAGTCATATGTGAAACTTTTGTCGTTGTTGATGTTCTTAAAACTTCTCCTAATTTTGTAACTTCAGGTAATTTTGGAGAGAGCTTACTCGGCATATTAGAATTAGTATCGTTAGTTTTTTGTAATTTTGTTATATCTTCAAAGGAATGGGAAGATGCTTGATGATTTGCAAATTGAACAGGTCGTAGAAAACTTCGTTCAACCTTCCTACTTTCATTATCATTGTTTATGCTATCAAAAATAGCTTGAACGTAGTCAGTAATTTTATTGTCTTTATTTTCCTCTCTTCTGCCTCCATCCTTTACGTTTTCCATCATTGTCTGAGTTCTGGAACTCAAGGTTTCATTCTTAGCAATATTGTAAAGAGACAAATTGGTAGATTTTAATTCACTCCACTCTAATCTATGATTTTTTGGGTGACCAAATGTTGATAAATTTATTTTATTATCGGTAATATTGTTTACTTTGATGTCATTTAAAGACTTTGTTGATTCTTCCGTCTGTGCTTGGATTTTTTCCTCTTGCGTTTTAGATTCTTTAGCATTAGTTAAATGTGAAATTGGACTTTCGGTGAAATCTAAACTTTTATCAAAATTAATTATTTTTGCTGTATTTGTTGTACCAACAGTTATTGTCGTTTCATCAGTTAATTGTTTATTTTTATTGTTATCTTTTTCAGTAACAATTGATGGTAATTTCGAGATTTCTTTCATCATTTCAATAGATTCGTTAGGTTCCTTGAACATCTCCATATAGTCATTATTTATGTCAGAACTTGTTTGCTCGCGTACACGGAAATCTGGTTTCTCATCACGGAACATATCATCAATCATATGATCTTTACCAGACTGCCTATTGAATGTGTTAATTGGAGAACCATAATTTTGTGATTCAGCGGTTACAAATTGTTCACGAATTGGATGAACCCTGATTTTGACTTTTCGCTTTCGAAATCCAACCTAAAAAATGTAATCTAATTATTTCACCTTGAATTACTGTACGCAATATGGATTTTTAATTCTTGTAACTTATGTTAAAATTAAAAAATGGAAATAAAATATTATAAAATTAAACTTGTTAATATTAAACAATAAAAAAGGTCTGACAGACTCGGAGAAATAAAGCGTTTAATTTAGTTTACCTTTCTGCGAGTGGGCTCTTTCAAAGGAAATACTGTTGTAACATCCCTCTCTGAGTCGTCTTTAATTTTATCTTGTAGCAATTCATAACTTGTTTGAACTGTAGCGCTTTCTAGATTTACATTATTCTTGTTGTTGATATTTTCGTTATTATTGTAGTGATTACTACTATCATCATTATAGTTATTATTTTCCTCGTCACTATTATTATTGTTTAAAATAGATGTCATAATTTCAGGAATTCCAGTTTGGTCCATATTAAAATTTTCATTTGAATCTTGATTGAAAATATTTTCATAATTAGTCAATGTTTCAATGCTAATATTGTCATTAATGTCTGAACCATAAGTAGTGGTTTCATCAAAATTTTCTTTATTTTCTACAATCTGTGTGTAATTGTCATTCTTTACTAAATCTGTTGTATTGTGAAGTGGGTGTATTTGCTGGAACACATTGTTTGATACTTTTGTGGACCACTGACTTTCTGCTTCGTAAATATCAGACGATTCAAATTGTGGTAAAAATTTTTTAGCGGCATTACTGTTTATGTTATGCTTTTGAAATGAAATAGTAGATTGTTCACTTTGGTCATCATTTGACTTTGGTACGTTAAGTACAAATTCTTGAGAGATCTGAAAAATAAATCAGAAAATTTTATTTAAAAACTTATTCAAAATCTTGTTGAGGCCGAAAAAAAATTAAAAGGTCATTTAACAACTTGCACTTACTTCTAAGTTTTCTTGTTTACGATTGGGTAAATTTCTTCGATTGAAATATAACTGCTTATTATTCGGCGAGGAGAAACTTTTTGGAGTTACATCCGCCATATGGAAATAATTTTCATTAAATTGCAATTCATTACGATCTTCTAATGCAGCTTCAGTAGTTGTTGTCGTAGTTCGTTTTCTGCCAGGTCTTCTTACTCTGCCGCGAATTTTAGTAGTTTTAGTTTCTTCGGTCTTTGATTTAAGACTCCCGGTATCTTTATGTTGTTCTGGAGAGATAGACGTACGCATTGTTGTTGCTACATTATTAGGGTAATTTCTGTTGAAAGATAGATATGTTGGGCGTTTCTTGGTATCGTGTCTTTGTGGAACTGTTTCTGAATACACTGCAGGACTTTCTGGTTCATTTTTTATGCGTCCCTAAAAAGTAGGATCATATTTAAAAACTAATGATTTCAATTTTTCAGAAAATGTCAGTAATAAGTATGGATTTTGGTATTCAAGTTAAAGAAAAAATTTATTAAAAATATTAGTATTCCTATAAAACAATTTAAACATTTCACATTAATATCTGTTATTTCAAGAAAAATATAAATTATATAATAACAAATTTGAGTATTACCTGATTTTCCTTTGTTCTCAAATGGAAATTCTGAACATTCTCTTCAGATTGTGAAGGCTGAAAATTTGGCGCCCTTACAAAACCGTATTCTTCTAAGCCATCTGATGTTTCGAAAGTAGTTACTGATTCTGGTGTCGCAGATGTGACGATGGAGTCCTTTTCATTCAAGGCCGATTGAATTCTTACATATTCCTGACCATCTGTTTGAATTTGTGAGTCTTTATGATTTGGTCGAGTACGTGTTTTTAATCGAGAAGACACATTTTCTCTATTTCGGTTTACTAAATGTGGTGATGGTTTTTTTGTTTGTTGGCGTATTGCAGAACTAAAACGAACGAACTCAGGTTGTGATTTTTCATGATGAGTTTGTAGTTCTGGTTGAACACGACCATGTGAGTGCTCTCTTGTCTTTTCTCTAGTAGGTCCAGACAAATGTGTATTTATCGTTGATGGCGTTACAGGGAAATCTGTCAACAGCTAAACCAAATTTATTCAAATTATTACTTTTTATTAACCAAAAGATGATTATAGTAGAATTGTTTCAAAATGGAAACTTATTCAAATATAAAATAGTTTATAAATTAGATACAATTAAATAGAAGAGTTGCTCAAGAACTAAAATTTAATTACAAAACATTTAAAAATTGATGACATGATTCCAAATAATACTTACTTTTGCTGTTGATTGGTCTGTCGTATGACCTTGTGTATCATAGTTAAACTGTTTTCCATTTTGAATAGAATAATCAGATTGTGAATTATCAAAACTATTCGTGACTCCAGTTTGGTAGTTTTCAAAATTTAATCTTTCAGTTGATTCGTAATTATCATTTGGTGAATTCTGATTAACTTGACTTGGAAAAGCACCATTGTATTGTAGGTAATCTTGCTGATAAGGTTCATCTACTTCAGATACTTGGGTAGGATCAACACTTGCATATTCTTTATTTCCACTTTTTTTAGATTGGTAATAAGAATAATCTTTTACTGGTGTCGGTGTTGCTGCTGTATGATATTTTAAATCATATACCAATTCCTTATTATGTTCCGCATTTACAATTGGAGAAAGATCAGTTTCATTTCTAAATTGACGATCTTGTTGGTAAATTTGATGATTTTCAAAATCTGAAGGTTTTAAATGATGAGCTTGATTTGTATAATCTTGAGAATTAGAGTTACTCTGTAATCTTGAAACTTCATCATCACTCATTTGATAAGCTGTGGAACTGTGATGTGAATAGGTCTTTCCTCCTTGTTGCTGACTAGACGGAAAAACTCCTTCATTTGGCAACCGATCTGAAATCTAGAAGACAATTTTATAAGTTCTAAAATTAGTAAATATTTGACTTTTTAGAATCCCTACTAATTAGAATAAAATAATTATATAAAAAAACTTTTAATTTTCTAATTCTCACCTTTGGCTGATTTGGTTTATGAGTTCTTCCTCTTACTTTCGGATGTTTCGCATTTAAAGGATTGCGAGATTCATTTTCTGTATAATGTACATTAGTCGTTTCTGGTTTACTTTTTTTAGGGTCATATGGGTTTCTTTGATACTGTTCTGTAGTTGTAGTTAAACGCGTTCTAGATCTAGTGAATGGTCTCTGGGATCTGCTTGTTGATGATTTCACAGGTGGACGCAAAGTTGTACTTTTTGTTGTTACAACTCTTCCCCTAAGAATAAAATAGTTTATAAATTCATCTTATAGAGAAACTAAATCAGTTATAGAGTTGAATAAATTAAAAATTTTAACAAAAGTATTTTATAAGGCAAATTTAATCTTGAATACTATAGTAATGAAGAAAAGATGAAATATTTTTTGTAACATTGATTTAATAAATATATTTAATATCTTAATGGACAAAGAATAACTATGCCCTTGTGCCCATTGAGATATGTTAGTCAAACCTTTGTCTTCCACGACTGCGTATAGTTGTAGTTGGTGTTTCAGTTGTTGCAGCAGGTGTACTTGTCGTGAGTGGAGTCGTCAATGGAGGAATCTCTTCACTTTTCTCCATTAAAGAATTTACTAATCCAGGCAACTGTGAGGATATTGCTGGTAATTTTGCAGATAAGTTGTATTGACTTGATTTAGTAACTGGTTTTTTTTCTGACTCATAATGAGAAGTATAGTAATTATTAGTAGCAGGAGGACCCAAAGGTTCAACATTAGACTGGATATGTTGGTGATCTACAACTTGTTCTTGGTTACCAGTCACGTACGTAGGGGTATATGATTGTTTTCCTGTTTGAATATCACTTAACGTATCCTGTTCATATTGTAATGTACTTTGTGGAAAATTTGACTGATAAGAAGGAGTTACATAACTTGAATCACGGTAATTTGATGATGTAGGGTAGGTATTAAAATAATCCGTATTTTTTAATTGTTCTTCTTTTTCGAATACTGAAGCAGATGTAGGTTTTCGATCTTGGTAATATTGTGGTTCTTTGTATATAGCGGAATTACTAACTCCTGTACTAAATTCTGTTGTTGTTTCAATTTTATCATTTGATGTTGGATAAGAATTGAAAGTATATGAATTAAATTCTGTTGAGGGACTAGAATTTTGACGGTTTTTATATGATTCCGTTTCTGTAGTCTTTTCAATATGACTGACAATAATAGATCCAATATGAGGAGCTGGGAAAGGAATTTTGAAATAATTGCGAGGTGGTACGAAACTTAGAGGAGCTACAAAGAATGGAAATCTATTTAAATCTTTTTCTAATAAATAATGTTCAATTGAAGACAAATAGGGTAGGTCAAATTTAACGTATCCAACTAAATTATCCAGATATGCTGGTCCAACGAATACTTTTGGTGTGTTGGGAAGGACGGTATCGATTACTGCAATTGTCTTTGCATTTTGAAGAAGTTCAAGTAAATGGTTTACATCAACATTTTGAGCATCTAAGTTCGTTGCCATATAAATAGATAAAGGTGGTTGGTTGGGAGACAAGGGAGTTGTTGTCATATCATCTTTATTATAAGTGGCATAACGTTGCTCAATCTGAGGTCGATACTTATTTTTCCTATTATTTGTAACATTGTTAACGTCTTCTGTAGAATATTGTTGGTGTTGTCCATTATGTATCAATGATTGTGATTGTGGGATCTTCTCTTCATTAAAATAAAGATCTTGATTCATATATTGTTCATTTCTAGAAGGAAGGTGTTCCCTAAAAGCTGATTGGTATGAATGTTTTTCTAATTCTCTTTGTCGTGGCAAACTTCCTTCTTGACTAATAGTATCTTTTAATCTATGTAGTTCTCTCGAATAATCCATGTCATTTTGATAATTGATATTTTTCTGATATTCCGAATCTTTCTTCCTCTCTAGAGCAGCTTGCTTATTATATTGTTCATATTTATTTTGATTTTGCCTTATTCTACCTTCTTTTGTTCTACTTGCAGGTTTTCTCCTCTCTTGTTCCTGTTTATCTCTACCCTCATACACTTTTTGATACTCGTTTTGTTTATTTTCATCTTTTATTGCTTCTGGTTCGAAATTTCTTGTCACTTCTTTTATTTCTTCTTTGAAAAATTGACCCTCTTCATTTATACTCTCGGGCGACTGATCAAAATGTTTAAGTGAAAAACTTTTTTGGTTTAACATTCCTGGTGGAAAATGAATTCCCGAGTTATCCTGATAGTTATTGTAATTTTGCTTTTTTTGTGACCGATCTTTTTCATTCTTTTCTTGACCTTTTGCAAGAAGTGCCTCTGCTGGTACATAGACTAACTGAATCTGAAATTAATTTGAATTATTATATTAAAAAAAGCACAAATTTTTAATTAATTAATTTCTTTTGTTACTAATAAAATTTTATTTAAATACCTCTTCATCATCTGATTCATCTGGCTTTGTCCATGTCTGTGATGGGAATTTAATCTTATTATCAGTTTTATAACGTTTATGACTTTCAAATAATTCATCTGATGTTGTATCCTGTTTTGCATCCTTAAGATACTGTTCTGTATTAACTTTATATCGATTATCAGAGTCTTGATGATGTTTAGCTGTTCCATAGTTTCTTAATTTATGCCTATCGCTTTTTGAATGCTGATTTGATTCAGAAAAAAGTGGTGGCAACGATTTGAATCCAGAATTTGGTGGCGTTAAATTCTCTGGAACTAATTGAGGAACTGCTTGTAGATTTTGTATCCTACTTTGCTGAATTGACTCTTTTTCTCCTTCTTGGTTTTTAATACCATCCTGAATATATGCGTGCGACTAACAAATAAGTATAAATTTATATATGTTGTTTTGTATTAAAAAATATAAATTAAATGTAATACAAAAATGGTATGTAAGAGTAAAAATAAAACTAAAGTGCCATTAGCCATTAGTACTGAGTGCAAGTCTTTAATGCATAAAAACATTTATATTAAGCAATACCTTAACTGCAACAAAATTATTACATATACTTTCAACATATGTAAAAGTATTAAATGTTTTAGAGCTAAATGTAAATAATGGTAAAAGGCAGTAAACGGGAATCCAACTATCAGTTATTACTTCTAGGCATGTTTACATCTTGCAGTTTCTTTTAAATTAATATTGATTAAACTTGACAAATTGATGGATCGATCAATGAAACAACTTGTCACACACGAATTAGTATTGATTAACGAATCAGTACTAATTTGTGTAACAAGATTGTCTTGTCCCGTCTACGTATCCCTTTGTAATTATTTGTACTAATAGTCTCGCAATCACTTTGGAGTAGCCGGCTATGATTATCACAACTCCTGACAGCTTTTATGTAATTTATCGATTTAATTAATTAACATATTTATAAATTATCTTTGTTAAGTGAATAATTATATCAACAATGATTATAAAGAAATTAGGAATATTAATGACTTGCATAGTTCTTTTTAAACTAAATTATTCAAAAAAATTTGTTGAGTGCTTTGAGTGATGTTATCTTCTTAAATGTCTTCAACAGTATACATATAATTATATTAAAATAATGGTTACCTGAAGGAGCTGTTGCTGAATTCTCAGTTGGTCTTGAAGGTCTAGGAGCTTTTGGATACTTTCTTGAGTTTTTTGTAGTTGCAACAACTGATCCTCATATTGCTTCTGAAGAGGTGGTGAAAGTGATACAGGTGAAGCTCTATTTGTTTGCAAAGAAGATGCAAATACATTTTCTTGTGAGTGACTATGACTTCTTTGATTATGTCTATGATTTGTTAGTGGAACCCAATCACTATTTGCAATCTGTCGTGACCATCTTTCTGTGGCTTCAGTTTGTGTCCAAAATATTAATTTAATAATTAAAATTAATATTATGGTTTTATCCATAGCCTAGTGGAAAGATAAAACAGATATATAGTTATTAATTATTATATATTATATTATATTATAATTATATATTACAAACAAACAAAATCTTCCATTATATAACCATAGAGTTTATACTATAATAATTATACATTTTGAAATTGGGGAATATTATTAATTATACAGCTGATTGACATGACAAAATAATTCAGGATAATCCGAACAAGGTAAAGGATAAAATCCATTGAGTTTACAATGAATAAATTTAAGAAACTTTTTATGACATGTTTGTAGAATAAGTCCAAGAGATCACTTGATTAATAGTATAAGAAAAATCACTGGAAAAAAAACCTTTCGTAGTAACGATCATAACTTTACATTTCGAAACATTTAAAAGAAGAGCATTTTTAATACACCATTTGATTAATGAATTTATATTAGTTTGTAACTTCTCACAAACTTTGATATCATTGATTGGGGCAGAAATATTTAAGCAATAAAAAAATTGTTGCCTATTTTGTATGAAGAAATAGGGAGCAGCATTTTTTTCAGGTAACTCAAGGTCATGTAGTTTCTCCATAACAATACAACGCGATTGATACTGTCAAATGTTTTTGAAATTTCAGTGAAAACTACATAAATCTGATTATGATTTTTTAAGTAAAGTTCAATTTTCTGTAAAAACGTAATAAGCATGGAAGATGTAGAACGACTGGGAAGAAATGTTCCTGAAATAATTTTGGGCTAAAATATAACCATAAAATACTACTAATAAGACACCTTTCAAAAACTTTAGATAGATTAGATAAAATTATGAGGTAAACTAGCCCATTGAAAAGAATTCCAACTTTTGAATTCTCATCAAATTCTTCGCTGTTTACTGGGTAGGTTCTACTGTAATTAAAAATGAGAGAGTTTCTAAAATAAAACGTGCCATACTGAAAACCAGTACTGATTCGCAGTATTGACGCCTTACTTTCTAATTATTGCTAATGTAATTGCTTTTCAAAAAACAAAAATTGATAATTTATAATTTATATGGAACGCACAAGAAGTAAATTAAAAATGTTTTTATACTGAAAAACAAACAAAATTAAAAACGTTTACTTGTTCGCTTCGAAAAAATGTTTAAATTCCGCCGAAATACGGAAAGTAAAATATATTCCAGGGAGAGTGAAATTTTTGATAAAAATTTCTTTCCTTATAGATATACATATAATAACAGTGAAATTGAAATTAATATAATGTTGTTGAAGTCTACCGTAGCGCGGAAAGTAATGATAACTATTAAATAATTATACAGTTAACTTGACAATAAAAATGTTGTTAAAGCTCATCGAATAGACTAATTATCTACAATATTATTTAAAAGTAATTTTAAAATAGAGAAAATATTCGTTTCGATTTCTATAGCATAAATTTCATAGCAGCAAGAAGTTGACAATTTTTAGAATTAAAATTAATTAAGTGTACACCATGACTTTTCATGATAGCTATTAGAGCTGTGTTCTAAAATGACCTTGCCTTTGACGGAGTTATTTGTAGCAAATTACGCAAATTACAAACACCTTGAAAAAAAGTTTTTCGATTTTTTAAAAAAATATGATGGAAAACTTTGCATATTGATTGTAAAATTTTCAATAATAATTTCTAATTGTAAACCTCGTTGCAAACTTGATAGAAAATTTCTGAAAACTTGAGCGCTATCTGGGTGGGCTTGTCCTACAAAAGTTATGAAATTTTTTATTTCGACAAGTCATTTTTCAAAATAACGGTAACTGGCATTTATAGAATTAGAAAAATTTATAATGATCAAATTTTTGTTTCTCTTCTCCTTCTTTGATAGAGGATATATTATGTCTTTCTCGTATTTTTATAAGAGAAGTTCATTGACCATCGTATTGGAAAGAATAGGAATCCTAACTTTCTTGTAAAATTTGTCTGGAGAAAAATGTAGACGACTTTATGTTAGAATCTTTGGTCTTAAGTTATACCGCCGAACTCAATTCAAAGTTAATACGAGTAATTATTGATTCGGGACACGCGTTGAAAGGAGGACACCTTTCTCTCTTTACAAGAAGTATAAGCAACATCCTTTCTACTCTCCATTGCTATAGGAATGGTCAAATGTAATATAAAGTTAAATATTCTAGGAAACAAACGTTTGTCTATGCATATATATACATACTTCCTCGAATTTTTTTTCGTGACTATCAAAAGTACTATACCCATAGAGGTAAAAATATGAAAATTTATAAATGGACAAAATGGACAATTTTTCGTTAATTTTTCCAACTTCTTCACTTTTATTATATTTTTATCACATTTTTAATCTGGTTAAGATAATTATAAATTAGTAAATTATTAATAATTTATAAAGCAGGTAATAAAAAGGTGTCAAAAAGATTAACTTGTAAATCAACTAATTTGTATCTTCATTATTCAAATTTTTTATATGGATATTCACTGAACAAAAAATTTATTTGACTCAAATGATCAATAAATTGTCGTTTATCAACTAAATATTTACTTGAATCAAATAAATTTTATTTAATAAGTCAAATAAATTCTATTTGAAGCAAATACCATTTAATTGACTCAAATTTAAAGATTACCTACTTAATTAGAAAAATAATAACTTTATATTAATCATTATAATAACAAAGCCTAACCAAAATTTAGCGAATTTCAGAACCAAGAAACGAACAATAATTTTTTGAAGATCAAGAGCTTTGCATCTACTAAAACCTACTATAATCGATTCGAATTTTTGTAATCGAATGAAACGAGTTTTTTTTAATCGTCAAATTTAATTTTTCGATAGCTACTTTTTACTATTTTTTCCCCATGTAAAAACCATTTAAAAATTTTAAAAAACCATTTTAGTTCCAAAATATTGTTTTTTGAGATTATTAAAGTTAAAGATTTTGTAAATTTTTGTCAATTTATTTTTATTAATATTTTATCCGAGTTAGCTTCAAAAGTAAATAAGAATGAAGCAACTACAAACTTGTAATATTTTTAATTTTTTTGTCAAGGATTACGTATTTGAAATCAGAAATTCAAAATTCAAAATGGCGGAACTAATATAGCGTCAGAATTTTTAAAAACTCAACGGATTATCGCTTATGAAACTTGTTACTCGGGGGTTTTTGGGCTCGCTGATTACGAATCTTTCAAGTACTTTCAGATGACGTAAAAATTTTTAGAAAAATAATTTCTCTTGGTGTTATAATAAAACAAGTGTTTTACACTTTTATGTTAGAATATCTTATAAACTTGACGCTTTGGAGCAATTTTAAGGTCAGATTTGGGTTCACCATATCAAAAAACCGTCGGAGAAGTAGCATCCGGTTTTTGGTTCTGAAATTCAACAAAATAAGTTTTTTCGGTTTATGTAATTAATACACCTATTAATAATTATTTACATAAAAAATAATTTAAAATCCAAAGTCATAGATGAATAATAAAGAAAATTACACCAATCGAGCGTCCGCGAGAGAGAAATACGCTGCTATATTAGTAATTATAAATCTGGAAATAGTAGAAATGTTTTAATCAACAAAACTAGTTGTCAGTACTATTTTTTTTAGCCAATGCAGTTCACGGGGTGTTAATATCTAACATTAACAGTGTTAATGCGTAATGCATTAAAACTGTCTTAGTACTCTTGTATAATAAAGCTGACAAGTTACTTTTACATTTGTAACTGCAATATATACGTTGGTGTCATTAGTACGAATTAAAAAGAAAGTATCTAGAGGAGTAACGAATAATGATGATTAGTCATTGTAATAAATACGGAAACTCATATTTGGATGTAAAAGAAATTCTCATTCTTTTTTAAAAAAGGAAAATCACATATATAACATTACTATCCTAAAAAAAAGTATTAATAAAAACCTTTCTCTATTAGTAGAATAATTGTACGTTTAGTACCATTTTTACGACTCTATTAAGCACCTGCGACTTTTTTTTATTTTAATTTGATGTCAAAATCGAAAAATTTCTAAAGAACTATTAAATACTTCTAATTGACATGAATATATGATATTTATATGGTATTTATTGTGATTAATCAAACACTTGTTAAATCGAGAATATAATTATTGAAAAAAACTTTTTTTTAGAAAAAAAGATAAAAAAATTGTCTAAAAAAATTAAAAACTTTTAAACCAAAGTAAATTAATAGTCTTGACTTTTTATATGCAATTAGAAATGAAACCTCTAATAAGCGTGTAACAACCTTTAATACCTAAGTCATTATCTATACTAAAGTTCTAGTAAATACTTCGAAATACTACTAAGACAAATAGTTTAATTTTTAACTACAATTTAAATTTTTTACAACATTATGAACAATTCATTTCTTGTTAGATGTATAAAATTAAAAATCAAAATAATTATCAAGGTTGTTTTAAAGTAAAACAAAATATAAATGATTTTCACTTTCACTTTTCCTTTTTCATTTCATTTTTTCTGTTTATTTATTTTTACAATTTATTAATTTGTTTGTAGTTTTAAAATTAAATTGACAACTTATTTTATAATTTTTGATAACGACAGCAGATTTATCGAAATGTTAAGAAGTGAATTTATTTGAAACAACTTGATTTAAAAATTGCCAGTATTTACTAAAGTTTTCACTAAATACTAAATTTCTCCAGTTACAACAAAGTTATTCATCATAAGACATTGAATAATTTTTTATAACATTATTTTTACTATACACTTTACAGCGAGCTTTACAGAATATTCTGATTTGACCATAATTTTTAAGTGACCAATTTTTGTGCGGGCAAAATTGTATTTTGCAATAATGAATTAATTGAAGTCTTTTTAATGGTCTAATAAAATTATATTATATCATTAAAAAGACGGACATTCAATTTACTTAAAGTGATTATACTCTTAGAAACTTATTTTACTTCGATGCAAAGTAGAAATCATGTTAATTTATTTTAATTAAATGGAAAATTTAACCATAACAATTTTCGTACTCATTGATATATTTCAATATTCTC